CCTCTTGTGTGTTTATCAGCGACGAGTGAGGAAAGTTCCTGACATGAAATAATCTAGCCTTTTTAACAAACATAGAGGGAATTGGAAGACGCCAAAAGTGTAAACTGGACGAACACAAGGTCAAACATAAACGTGGCAGGGCGTCGGAACTCGCAAATGTGGGACTCACCAGGCCTCCTCAATTGAGAGATATGTAAGCCGTGAGAGAGTTGTGAGAAAAAAAAAGGAGAAGGGTTGACCAAGACAAATGAAAAACAGAGGGGGAGATTGTGAAAAAGCTCTAAATTTGTAATCTTGCCTCCCTTTGGAGACTCACTTTCTGAACAGCATCCAAAAACTTGTGAGCTTTTCTGAACAAATAGCTGACATGCCTCAGAACAGAGGTTGTTTATCTTGGGATGGAGTGAAGGGGAGAGAGAGGAGGGATGCAAGGAGAGCCTGGGAGAAAGAGGAGGAGGAGGGGGTGTGGGGGTAAAACAGGAACAAAGAGATGGAGATGGTGAAATAAAAAAGATGGCAGAAATGAGATGAGATGCTTGGGAAACGATGCTATTAAAACAACACAAATGTGAGTTTCTGAAGATCTGCAGGAATAATGTTGTGATTGTTAAACTCACAAAGCAACAGAGACATGAAAAAACTTCAACATCAGGACATCCAGCAGGTCCAAACTGAGATTTTATTTAAGACTATATCTACTAGAGTGTGAAGAAAGGACATGTCAGACAGTGTTTAATATAAATATGAGTAACAAAGTGGGATAAAATGATGGGAATGGACTATACTGCTTAACACCAAGAGGAAATAAACCAAATTGTGAAACACACATATCTTATCCCCAGGGTGCTAAAGTGCTAAAATTAGTTCAGATGACATATCAACTAAAATGAGATTAAGATAATATTTTCAAAAGCATGACTAACAATTACATACCTCATATTTCAACACAAGTCTCATGATATACTGTAATGGAAAACAATCATCTCTGCAAAAACAACACTTTGTTACGTAACATCTTTAAATGAAGACCTATCACTAAAACAAAACGGTACTGTACCTTTTCACAGACCAACATTAGTGTTAATAAGAACTCGTAATTTAACCAAGGCTTAAAAAAACAGATTATACTTTTACAAAAAAGGAAGATAAAGAAAAAGAGCTAGTCACAAAACGTCAGCTGTTAAGCATGCGAAAAGGTTTTGGGCTAGCATGTTGTGAATTATTATTTCAGCAGAAACTAAGCAACAAATTAGGATTTATTTTGAATTGAGTTTCTGTCCTCCTGACAGGGAGGTAAGTACGATAAGAAAACGGCTTTATTCTCCTTTTTGGTCTCCTCCAAGTTCTGAGGGGCTAGCTAGCTCTTTAGCAGCTCAAGGTAAACGAGTTGAGAATTGCAATTTTCTGAAGGAAAAAATAATTAGTTGATTCTGACAGCCATCTTTTTTTTGCCTCTTGAGCCAAATAAGTCTAGGATTTTGGCAAAAAGAAATCCAAAGGGAATTTTCGAAGAGTACTGTGCAGCCTTGTTACTAGCAGTGTTAAATGGATGTCTGTTTGAGCTGCAGTGAAGGGCAGAGTGGCCATGCCAGCACTTCATGCCCGAGAAGTGTGGGCAAAGGTGGCAACCAGAGACAAGACCAAATAGAGACATACTGTTTGACACATCAGGCATGGAATGTGTACACACACACACACGCACACACACACAAACACACACACACACACAGTAATCCTTTAGATACCCTCTAATATATACAGATTAGCGTGTGTAGTCTTTCAGCTCCTTTGTCACTAAACAAACTATGAATCAGGTTGTTGTTCATGCTGATACTGTAATAGAAAAAAAGCCACCATCTTCTGAATAGTGTATTGCCTCACAAGCTTACCTGTGGTAACTATAAATGGATGAGGGAACCTAGTACATATTAGAAACCAGTAAGCACCAGTGGCAGTTTGTTAGTAAGGTGTGAGTGTTTATGTGCTGCTTCCTCCAAACATCGAGAGAAGAGAGTCTACTTGATGAACATAAATTAATTACACCCATTGGTAACTGCAGGGGGCTTTGGAAGCCAAACGATGGCGGTTGCCATGTTGGAAATGCCGTCTCAACCAAACTTTCATTCAAGCTTACGACAGGCTGAGAGCTGGAGCTGAAGTGGGTTTTACAGTAAGACTATTGACAAATCATTACATGACACCTGCCCTTCAATCAGGTCAGCGATGAGCCAAACTGTGTATAACTCGTATCCTTCACATCAAAACGGATGACTCACTCCCTGTACATTGTGCTAATGAAGAAAATAACTAATCAGACCAAATTACTTTTTTTGCACCAGCTGTAAACATGTTAATTTCTGCTGTAAAAACTGATTTCAATATGGGGTGTGTATGGAACTTCTGGGTCTTTTGGAACGAGCCTCAAGTGGACACTTAAGGAACTGCCGCTCTTTGCATGCTTTTCTGCATTGGCTTCATTTTTTAACACTGGAGAATGTCGCTTATTATGCAACTGTAGTGTCAAAAGAGACGGAAAAAATCTATAATCATGTTTTGACTTAAGAAACCATCTATTTCACTTAAGAAAAACAGAACATCCTTATTGCGATGCTAATTCTGTTACCCCGTCAACAGCAATTTCCTACCCTGTCAATTAGCTATACTTCCCTGTGCATCTGTGAGAAATATCGGCCCCATCTGGAGAATAATGCACCAGCCACTATTACTGGTAAACACAAAATCTACTAAAAGGTTTGAGCAGTATGGTCCATTCAGTCCAATTATTGTTTACTGTAATATTGTAAGTGAGGGGTAGACAAGTTGAGGAATGAACAGATTGACAATGAGAAGTAAACCTACTGATCCAGAAGTTCTAGTTTGAATGCAGCCAAGTGTCCTGATTGGATGGCTTTAAGTCGTTCATTTCAATGGGAGCCAATCATAAAGAGGTTTCCGGATTTTATTTGTAATCTTCCTGAAAAAAATTGTAAATAATTAAAAATGCACTCACTGTAAATACAGCCAGTAATATGAAAAAAAAGGTATTGTTAAATATTCTTTGACAATGTGAATAAACAGAGAACAACTCTTCTCTTGTCAGATGAGGAAGGGTGTTGTCTGTAACAGTGAACTATGGTAGTTTTCCTGATTGTGTGTGATTGTGTTTACTTCCGCCTTTCTACGTGTGTCACATTTGTTAGTATGTGTGTGTGTGTGTGTGTGTGTGTGAGAGTGTGTGTGTGTGTGTGTCTGTGTGTGTGTGAGAGTGTGTGTGTGTGTGAGTGTGTGTGTGTGTGTGTGTCTGTGTGTGTGTGTGTGTGTCTGTGTGTGTGTGAGAGTGTGTGTGTGTGTGTGTGTGTCTGTGTGTGTGTGAGAGTGTGTGTGTGTGTGTGTGTGTGTGTGTGTGTGTGTGTTAACAGGAAAGTGGTGTAGCATTCAGAGGTGGCATGTGGCTGTGGCGTTGTGGTATGTGCTGGCAGACTAACAGGCCACCTCTGAGTTTTAATGGCAGACGTGTAGAAACCTTTGAGGACGGGGTGAGGATGCTTCTGTTCCTGTTGATAAGGCTCTGTTTCCTGTTGCACAGGTCAGCCTTGGACCACTGACATGTGCATTTTATGGGGCTACACCTCTAATGACTGTTGGTCTCTGAGTGTCGAGGGACATTTTGCAGCAGTCATGTCGAAGTTAATTTGCTTTCAAAGAAAATAAACTTACCACTGGGACTTTGTGTCTGCAGCAAAGCAATATAAACATTATCCTTGTGATTGAAATGCAATAGTATAGATTTACTTTGTTTGCTACATATTTAGACACTTTGAGAAAGAAATATAAAAAGTTACATTAACAGCAAATGGTTTGTTTGTCTAATGACTTATTAGATTCCATTCTGGTTTCCTTGTGTGAATCATCACAAATCTAAAGTAAGGTCACTGACACGTGGACTTAATAGTATTTTAGTTTTCAAGCAGTTACATCGTAGTTTATTATTAGCCTTCATTGTGGAAAGACACAGAAACTGACAATACCTAAATTAACCAATTTCTGGTTAATAAGTAAATACTTAACTTTAGGCATCATTATGTGGATAAACGATTAACATCAAAAATACAAACAGCTGAAAACAAATTGAAGCTCCTGCTCCTGCTTGGCCTTGTTGCTGGAGAGGGGCCAGTTCACTTCCTGGAGCACTGCTGAGGTGCCTTTGAGCAAGTCACCAAACCCCCTTTCTACTCAGCCCTCTTTCATGTGCAGCCCCTCCATCTGACCATGAATGACTGACCACAGGAGTGTGTGTGTGTGTGTCTGTGTGTGTGTGTGTGTGTGTGTGTGTGTGTGTGTGTGTGTGTGTGTGTGTGTGTGTGTGTGTGTGTGTGTGTGTGTAGGACGAAAAAAGCAGAAAAAAATGAATTTCCCCTCAGGGTTTGTCTTCTTCTTCTTCTTCTTCTTCTTCTTCTTCTTCTTCTTCTTCTTCTTCCCAATTCATCAAACTTTCCCAAAAGTACGCTGCCACTTATCAACATGATGGATCTTTATCTCTACAGTTTCATTTGGGTCAGTTTAAGGCCCAAAGTCCAGAGTCAGCCAATGATAGATAAAAGTGTTTAAACATGTGATGGATCAATGGACATTAAGGACAACTGAGTCATCATGAAACAGTTTCATCATTATGTGTTTCCCTGTTAAAGTCAGCAGAGACTCAGCTGATAGAGTCTGCTGATTAGCACTTGATCAGAGATGGTTTGCACACTGCTCACTCAAATGTATATTTATATTCAAAGGCGGCCACTTAATCCCAGGTGTCAAATGGTAGCCATCGAAAACGTAGTCATATCTCAGTAAACAGCGCCCCCTAGTTTGAACTGCCTCAGAGGCATTGTTTACTTGTTGCTTCATAATGTGTTGACAAGTCAATTGGCATGCAATGTAGGGAGACATGAAAACAAAGTGTGAGACATGAAGCGCTGTGGGAGCTCTCGGTGTGGACCCTGTGATGCTTTCATTGGTATTTGATCCACGTCCCCGCCCCTTTCCTCCTGCTCCGCGCTGCGCCGCTCCTCACACCCGGCGCACCAGCGGGACAGTCCGGCTGTACCACGGACCGCAAGAGCCCCAAATACATTTCTATTGGAAAGATAATAAACCCGGAGTGAAGAAGTCTCCTTTTCTTCCGTCCGCGCATTGCTGAAGGTGAGTTTCTTTTCGATGTCGACGTCAGATAACTCTGATATAGCTGTGAAAGAAACACAATGAGTCTGTGATACCCAATCAGAAGTTATAAGCGACTTTATCGAAATTTGAATTTTGGGTAGTGTGTGTGTGTGTGTGTGTGTGTGTGTGGAGGGGGGGGGGGACTTTAGAGGAGCGCGTTTACAGGACAGGACAGTGAATCTGTGATTTTTTGTTTAGCTTTTTAAATCCTTAAGTAAATACATTATTAAAGGCTATAATTAATTTGCAGCGCGATTTCATCCTTGTGGGTATTTTTAAGTTTTCGTGCAATAGTTAGGCTATTTCAGTAAAATCCGGGGTTTCTTGGATGTTATGTTAGTATTGCATGTTTGAATGGCGAGTAAACGTATTAATTGCTGGATGACAACATTGCTATTCACTGTTATGAGCCATACATGTGTGACTGCATGTAGAGAATGTATGAACTTATGTGTCTGCTTGTAGAGTAAGCCCCCTGCTGAGCACAGAGAGAAAGCAAACATAAAGAGTTTCAGAGAACATATAACCATTACTGTACAAATGTTGACCGTTATCATGTGGTGTTAATGTACTGTATACTGTGTGAAGGTTTTCTTTTAGTGTTGTAAGAGTCTTTTCTTGGATGTCTGACATGAAATTCAATCTGCTCCTTTAACATATTTAAGTGCAGCAGCAGCAGCAGCAGTATATCATTACTATTTTCCCACTTTAACCCGGGTCAGAATAAGATCTGCTTGAATGCTGATTTTCATCACTCTGCCTTGTAATTACAGCAGTTGCATGACATAACCTATCAATTTCCACACGTGTCACTGACATTACCGAGCAGTACTCTGATTCAGCGGAACGTGACATGGTGAAGTTGAAGTTGGTGGCCTTGAGGTGTTTTAATTATGGAGACAAACAGGCAGCGCACTGTTGGACTCGTTACAAGTTGGGGGCAGTGTCCATCTGACCCCTACAGCCTGTCAGAGAGCCAGGAGGGAGGCCACCATGTGAAATACCCCACACACACACACACACACACACACACACACACACACACACACACACACACACACACACACACACACACACACACGTTGATGGAAGAGCCCGTGGGGCTGCTAAAGCTTGCCAATAAACAAACATGCACAGGAGGGGATCAATGAAAAGCCAGTCTGCTTCACTGATAATAACACAAAATCCATAAACAACATGTAGCGATGACCTCAGCCTTCCTTGCTGTGGATCCAAACAGTGTGTGTCTTTTTTCAACTTTAATTGGATCCATAATTCCTCTTGTTTGTGTCCAGTGGGCATACAGTATCCTATGGTGCATAACTGGATATGTCTATGTAGGCCGCCTGTGAGCTTATAAACACATGCATGCAATACGTTGATCATATCCACCATACCATTTATAGTTGGACATTTTTTACTCTCTGAAGCACTTTGGTTTACCTCTGCTTTATGTGTTATATACATTGTATTGGCTTGACTAGACATAAAGTCTAATCATAAAGTACTTTTGGCAAATGAGAACAGACATTCCCTGTGGTTTTCCACTTTTTTTTTTTTTTTACCTGAGTTCTACATTCCTTTGAGGGGTACCCTTTGTGACCTTTGGGTGTCATTGACGCAGCCAGCCAGGAAAGGGTCAGTGGCAGAGGTGTGAACTCTCAATCCGGCTGCTGTATTTGCTTTAACACCACAGGGTTCCCTCTTCTCTTTTTTTTCTTCTTCTTCTTCTTCTTCTTCTTGTTTTTGCCCCACGTGGTGTGTCCTCAACAAATGGTGAACTAATACAGCAGGAGGCTGATATTGTTGATTTGTATACCAAATGGTCTCTATTGTCTCTAAAAACTCCAAAATTTCTTATGAAACCTTTTTACAATAGTTAAAAAAAATCCAATGCAATCCAACAAGTGATTCCACTACTTCAGATTGAAACTTTTTGAAAGTGTGGGAAACAAATGAGAAGTTTTTCAAGCAATGCAACATCACGTTCAGCTTGACAAACAGGATACGGTTCTGTCCTGTTTGCTGTCTGGCTGCTGCCCAAAACTTGACTGCATGTGAACCTTTCAGATGATGATAAATGTGGACCATTGTACATTTTCCCTCAGCCTTTTCCTGTTCCTCCTTAAACTATAAAACATTTATCTTAAATTTTAAACGTAGACTTTAGACTTTTTAAAGACTTACAGCTAGCTCTCTTCAAAGGTAACAAAATCCACGTGCAAACACACTGAAAGAAATATTTAAGCAACTTTTAGCAAGGCCATCGACACCTTTTGTTTCAACCCGTAATGTCTCGTTTTCAGTTCAATTTACTGCAAGCTAAGCTAAACGCTGATTACAGCTCGTTGTATCAATCTCTTCATCTGATCTTTAGTATTTAATCATGTATTTTTTTGCGACCATGATACGTACACAGATCATTAAAACATGTTTAAAGATAGTTTTTGAACACAAGGATGACCATTTGAGGAGAATACAAACTTACCAGTGCGCTCTTGGTGGACCAACTTTTTAATGGTGACATTTTTCTCAAGTTAATTTACACTTAAACCATTCTTTTCTTTTATTGTCTTTGTCTCAAGGGCCGACCCATGACACACTATACATTATACGTGAAAAGATAACATTAGCCAGCTCTGCACCTGTTTTAGTCCTCTTCAGCCTTCAATGATCTTTGTAATACTATCTTCAAAGACCAAGGCAACAAAGAGGGCAAATTGGGATTCCCTGTTGCCGCAGATGAAGGAAGCACAGAGCCTCAGAGAGTATGGATATTTGTTGAGGCATGAAAATGTTTTCTTGGCTGAGGAGGAAGTGTAGCCGTGTTTTGCTTGGATTCAGACTGAGCATGGACGGTGAAAATATGGACGTAATTGAAAGTCAAAGGGTTAGCCTAAAAAATGCGGCCTTATCGTGTATGTTTGTTCACCTGGTTAGCGAGGTTAGTGAGTGAAGGACATAAGAAGAGAGGGAGAGAGAAGGGAGGGAGGAGGGGACACCAAAGTCCAGTGCTTATTTTACTCAAGGCAAACTATAGCAGAGTCAACATTTTTGAGTTAAAGTCATCAAAAGTCGAGATTAATGGGTGCGTGTGTGCCTGTGTGGCCCAACAGCTGTTAGTAAAGACTCTCAAAGAGAAGCAAAGAAAGGACATGAGAGGTAAAGAAAGCAAGTGAAAAAACAAACAGGGACAGAAATAGAGAGAGAGAGAGAACAAAAGGGGAAAGAGAAAACGCAGTGGAATGAGGAGGAATCAACAGACTGATTGAGCATGTTAAATGAAGGAGGAAGAAGAAAGAGATGAGAAATGGGAGAAAAAAGATAGTTATATCGAAACATGGTTTCAATCAGTGCTGAGGTTGAGAAGAAGGATGTTTGATGGGCCTAATAGAGAGAAAGACTGCAGACTGATGCTCTGTTCAGGAATGTATTCATACCCACACACACACACGGCTCCTATTAGACTGTGGTTACACTGGTTTATATCCAGCAAAGCCACCTCAAGCAAATACTGTACATAGTGACATGGAAATGTTTGATTTCAGCTTGTCTCTGTTGTATGAGTGCTTCAAAATCCCCTGAATGCAGATGCACAAAGAAAGCAGCTCTAAACTAAAACAGGAGGATGAACGTTGTTGTCTTCAGGCAAAAATGCTCTAAATTAATCAATAAATAGATTTTTGGATCATTATAGGCCAGTTTGGCTGTTTTTATGAAGTTATCTCTTCCCACCTTTGGATATAGCTGTTTAAAACAGATGTCAATATCTGACACAAAACCTTCAGTAGTAATGTTCTCTGCTAGAATAGTTAGAAAAAAGAAAGAAACTGAGAAAATGTCTGAGTACACAAATAATAGATATGTCAGATGTCTCTACAGGAATAAAGGCAGGGCTGCCAGGTTTAGCTATTTAGCACATTACAAACGCAGATTTATTCAACGTAAAAAAGGAAAACATTAGAATGACATTTAAGATTTGATGCAGATCTCTGCTGTGCTTTTGGCTGAATGCTGAAGTTAGCATGCTAAGATGGTGCTAATATTATAGCAGGTATAATGTTGTTTAAATCTTGGATCAGCTAGCTAGCATGCCAAACATTTTCTACCTACTATAATTGCTGACACTGATGGGAATGCCCTGCGTTTAGTAGGTATTTGTAATAAAGCAAAGAGTAAAGTAAGTAATTGTCACATAGCCTGATACAATAGGAAAAGTTGAGTGATCTGCACTATGTGGTTTTGAACTCCATGGCAATGCATCCAATAGCTGTCAAGACATTTCAGTGCAGCCTCTAAACCCAAACTGCATATTTCTGTGACCGTTTTTTTTAACTTCACATCTTTCCATAATTCCACCCTCCTTTTGTTACGTCTCATACCCTTCATTTTTAAGTTTTGTATTTCTCTCATCACCCATTTTGCCATTTCCATTTCTGTCCCAATTTGCCATCCTCCCCCATCCATCCTTTTTGTTAAGATTGATGTTTTCTCCCCTGCTTCCTTCCATTAGATTTCACCTTGCTATGTTTCTGTTCTTCTTAATCAAAAATATATCTCATGTTTTTCTCTGACAGGAATCAGAACCGGTGAAAAAGCTGGGTGGTAGCAGCCAGGCCTTGCCCAAAAACAGGCATACCCCATACTGGGGGCAACGGAGGAGATAAAGGATTAGAGGATAATCCATGGTACGTTCAAGTCCCTCCTGTTGAGAGGTCCCCTCCTTTTTACTTATATCCAAGACTCATGCAGGCAGGCTGCCACAGGGATTATGGTCTTAAACTTATAACCATTTAAAGACTCAAAAATGGAGTTTCTTTTTGTTCTTGTGGTTCTTTTTAGGTATTTTCAAAATGCCTGAGGGTGCTGGCTGCTGTATCTGTGTAACTCAAAAACAAAGGCGAGAGTGTTCACAGAGAGGAGGAAAAGAGAGTAAAGTAGGATGGGGACATATGTGCAGATAAAATAAGCTTTACTTAGAGGGTCCAGGTACATAAGAGGGAGCGACCCCCTCTGATCTGTGGTCAAAGGTCTTTAACTGGATTACAGGCAAAGACAAAACACCAGAGCTTACTGTAAGAACAGAACAATTAATGGTGCAACGTGTATCCCTGTAATACCCAGTTATCAATTAGACTTTGTTTCTTTCACTTGAATATTGATATAACAAAGCTACCTTTTTTCTTATTGAGAAGTGCACATTGCATTGTGTCTGGGTTGCAGTCACTCGGGTGTAATCAGAGAGAGTATGCCTGTTGCTTCAGCGCAGTTCATGGGAACATGCCCAAAGTCCCCGAAGGCAAACACTGCATTAGATTGAACCTCACACCTCAGTATGCTGGTCCCTGGTGTCCATGTGTGAGCCTTGATATGGCTCTGTTCGGTGCTGGTATGTGGCGAGTTTCCTCCCTCTCTGCTCCCAGATGCCCCTCTTAAAACTCCAGTTAGGGGAAGTGGAGCGGAGGGCCATGGGACTGTGGTCAGCAGCAAATTAGAAGGCCTGCCTCGGACCTGACGCAATCCCCGACTCTTGAACCATAGCAGGTCATTAATGAAGCCAGACGGGGCCTTGCATGCGTGGGAGGCCAGTGTTGTTTAACTGCTGCAGTGAAAATCTTTTAAAGAGAGCCAGAGGTCCTTGACAGGGCTGCCTTATGCTATCAAAATATTTAAGAATTGGATATTCATTACTCTGCTGGCAAAGAAAAACATGAGAAAAGGAAAAAATTTTATCAGCTTACAGACTTACAGAGGACTGAAGCTCAAGAAATGACTAGCAGTCAGTCAGTCCACTCAAAATACGACCAAAACCATAAATCAATCATAATACATCATAAAATATGTTGTGAATAATGTGTAAAAAAAGAGTCTTACTTTTTCTTTAACCAACAATTAGCTTAAAAAGAGATGGACAGACTCTCAGATATAATTATGGAAACAGAATTTATTGCTGAGGATGCTAATTCACTTTAGCCACCTTCCATGTTAAAGTTAGCTTATTGTCCTGAAAGCTTTGGATACAAATACAAGAGTTTAAAGTAAGGTAACAATGGTGTGAAGCAGTGGTGCTCAACTGGTGGGTTGAGACCCAAAAGTGGGTTGTGGAGATATTTTATTTGGGTCATGAATGTGTGTCTAGAAAATAATAGGCTGTTCAGGCTCTTTGTCCTGTGTTTTGTACAGCATCATGTTTCATGGAATAAATCTGAATAGTTGAAACATCAGACATTTGGATCGTGATGTTGCATAAAGGAGTCGGTGGTGGTTGCTGAGGCTAGACCAGTTGAGACCAGTTGAGAAACACTGGTATAAAGTATCCGGCTGATTAAAATCACCTGCACAAAAGTTAGCTTAAACTTGTTAGCTACCTGTAAAGGCCTGTGCTCATTGTTTTTAGCCTCCATTTAAGCTAGCTAGCTACTTTGCGCTCTCATTTTCTCCCTGATCCAAAACACATACAGACAATTGAAGCTACTAATTGGAGCATACTATAGCATACTTTAACTTTTAATGAGACTAGAAAAAAGTAAGATTTAAAACAAATGGTCTAGTGAAAGATAAGTAGAAGAAAACAACTCTCTTAAAAACATCAACCTCAAAGCTTTAGTTTTTTTAAAATCATCTTTTGACTTAAAGTATTATAAATAACTGTGATAGATTTCTGAGTGGTCTGATAATCTTTTCCTGCCTTTCAAATGTGAGAGGCTCCATTTAGAGGCAGTCTAGCGTTTCCTTATCAGGAAGTTTTCATTATCTCTTCCTATCTGGCTGAGAATACGTTGCCTGTTTGTAAACAACTCAAAGCCTTGTTGAGGGAACGCAGCTCCTGGGCTTTAAAAGCATGATAAGTCCTTTCAGCGAAATGTCAAATGAACTTTGTGTAACCTTCGAGCTAGACAAAGCACGACAAAATGGCAGCAGGAATTCCCTTAAAGTCCAGCCATTTCACGGACAAGGAGCCGACTTTGGCTTGTTGCACTGAGGAGTGACTGTGGTCTAAATTTAGATGGTTCCAGACCAGCGGACCCTTGGAATCCTAAAAACCTGCGGAAAGACATATCTGTCCAAAATGCACTGAGGTTACTTTACAACTACGCAGAGAATAGTTCAGAACAGGAAAGCTCAGTGGTCTCAACAGAATCTCATCTTTCACTAAACAAACTGCAAATGTCATGCATTTCTGTCAACAGCCTTCAAAATAAAATACATCCCTGTCTACATTTTAAAGAGAGATGTTTTTCTCCCTGTTCTTGCTCTTGGTAGATGGTTTCATGCGGCAACCACAGAAGCATTTGCAGCTGGATTCAAACCTATTTCTGAGCTGATGTCGACAAAGCCAAAGGCAAGCAGGGGAAACCAGGCGACCTGACCACACTCCAACCATCCCAGCTGCTTCCAGGAACACAACTGCACAGTGTTCTCCTTAATTTACGTCTGTTTAATTCAGCCAGCTATGCTGAACGACGAGCTACCAAGAGTGGGACAGAGCTTGGCCTGTGCTAAATAAACAGAGATAATGATCCAGTGAAGTATTTGGCGCTGCAGGTCTGGAGTTCAACTTTTCAGATTTAGAAATTACACGCTTTCAAGATCTTGGATTAATCCTACGGATTTATTTTTTAAGTCTATACTTTGGACTGCTGAACTTTCAATGATTTTTGCATAAATCTAAGAAGAAAAAAAGTAGAACTTTAGTGGAATAAAAGGCACTGTTTGAGATACCTTTTCAAGAATTATACAGCCATTCACCTCTTGGAACCATGAATCTTCAGGAGAAGCTATCAGGCCTAAAAGGTCTGGTCACACACTCCCACAGCAAGCGGCGCCATAAAGGTGACCTCACGTTGGAAATGATCAGCCCTCCTATGGGTGACTTCCGCCACACCATGCACGTGGGCCGTGGCGGCGATGTCTTCGGTGACACCTCTTTCCTCAGCAATCATGGTGGCACAGGCAATGGGAACAACGGGGAAACAGATTCCATCTCTTCCCCTGACAACAAGATCGGAGCGTTTTTCTCCAAGACACTCCGTCAAATCAGGAGGGGCTCTGACAACCGACCAACAGGAGGACCAAAGGATTTGTCACCGCCACCCCCTGCCATTTCTCCCATCATCAAGAATGCTGTCTCTCTCCCCCGGCTGGATGTTGATATGCCTAATGGATGCCCAACAACCAAAGTGCTCTTTCCCAGTTCCCAAAGCACACCAGAGGAGATGAAAAGCTCTTATGGTGAGTATGTTTTTTTCTTAGGTAATTGTGGGTTTAAGTCAATGGTGCTACTAAGGGTCTGAACTTGTATTCAGTATGTATAGATTTAGAAACATAGCATTAGAGACACTTTTCAACATAACACTTTTTACACAAGGTTGGATGTCTTTTGATGGATTTCTCAAAATAGACTAGACAAAAATAAGCTTGCTCTTTAACTGCCAGGGACCGACACCATCAGTGTTTGTATATGCTGAGAAATCTTCAACAACAAATCTTCACTTAAAATGTCTTAAGATGTTTGCCCAGTCTTTCAAGGATTAAGAAAATTGTTTTACCAAATCCCCAAATTTCCCCTAAAATGAACGGAAGGTGTTTCCTTCAAACTGTTTCTGTTGCTTAAGACAGAGAAAAAAGAGGTCAAATGGGTTAACCAGTGTTTACTGGAAACTTTAGGGAAATTTATCCATTACTTCTACCCAGTAATCTTCAACAGATTTCCTCCAGATGTCCATATGAATCACCTTGGCTCATAATTAGCAGTGCTGCCACTGATAACACACAGAGAGATCCAGACAGAACGGACTACAAGATGTATGTCTGAGAGACTGCTTCAACGAAACACATTAACACCAAACTCATTGCTCAAACAGCCTGACCTCCACTGTGCATGAGTGTGTGTTTGTGTGTGTAGCCAGTAGACGGTTCAACTAGCCTAGCATAAACATTGACAACGGGGGAAACAGCTAGCATGGCTCTTTTCTTTATTAAATAACATCTTGTCAGTGTCGTGGATTTTTCTGTATTTAACAAAAGATGTCAAGTCAAACCGCTTTTGTCTTTGTATTTTATTATCAGAATAACAGGGTTTCTTTTTGCAAAAAGGAGGAAACTTATACAGAGGTGACTATCGTCACGAGTGCATAGCAGAATCCCGCTCGGGAGCGGTTACATCAAGACATTTATACCAGACTTCGCAAAGCAGGGCACTCTCATTGGTTGACACATGTCGATGTGTCTTAATCTGGCTAAAGACATGACAGTTATGTTTGTGTGCTGTTCTTTCAGACAGGGTGTCGTACAAATGTCCTCGCACCCAGATGTGGTTTGGCATGTGTTGTTTGTGTACATGTTACTTATTTTTCCACCGTGCAAGCAGAAATTCGTGTGCATAAACGAGAACATATATTTTTCCATTACATCAGACTTACACTTTAGTTTTTGTATGTTTTAAGAAACCTCCAAGTCAATGGAGTTGCTAATAGGCAAGCTAGCTGTTTTCCCATTTCCAGTCTTTATGGCTAGTTAAAGCTATACGCCTCAATTTGAACATAAAGATATGTTGGTGGTGGTGAGTTTCTTACCTCAGTCTCATTAAGGAGTCCTAAGAACTTGGGCTGTGTCCAAATGGCATACTTTTATTCTCCTGTATTTTTAAGTATAGAGGAGCACACTGGTCACACTAAACTGCCCCAAAATGGTCTCTCAGACTATCCAATGGCGGAGCTCGCCAGCCAGCCAACAAGCAGAGTACAAACAAAAGTAACCATACTGTAATACGGGTCAAACAATATTAAAATGACTATGTAGCTGTATATTGTTGTTAAAATTTTTTTATGGACAAACGGTTACACTAGCTTGGTGCTAGCTTGTCTAATGTAGCTTTGATGTTAACAGCATGCTAACAGTTGGGTTAGTATGCAAGAAACTGAGTATGTAGTTGGCAATATGTAAGCAGACGTTTACAGACATATCCTTGGACTATTTGTTTAAATGATCTGAAAGGTATCAGAGATTTTTTAAACTTTGGTTTTAAAAAAACAATTATTTGTTGGGAGTCATGTAGTTTTGATAAAATATAAATATTTTTATCTGAAATCACACAGTAGTAACACAATTTGCATTGATAAATAGAACTACTCTTCTAACTGTCAATTATTCCTCATTAAAAGCTGATAGAAGAGTTCATTGGTATAAAATCCCCTCCAAACTCTTGGCCCTTCATGGCTGGCATTGAGAAAGGCTGTGGTTACTTTATCCTTTAGGGTGGTGAAGGCCGCTGTGTGTGAGTGTGTGACTCTTTAAGAGATCTGGCAGGGTCAGACAGATGATTCACTGTCCACAGATCTGATAAACTCAGCACATCACAGGCTGAGGTTTGTTGACTTGCCATTATTAATCAGGGTGCTCTTAGATGAGTTTACACTGCCCCCTGTTGGAGTTATATGATAAACTATGTGAGGACTGTTAAGGAATGTCTCACATAAAGTGATTTAAAGACAATATACAAATTATTTAAATATGAAATATATGACCAACTGAAGGAAGGTTTGAATTAGATTCATGTGTAAAATCATTCTAATATTTTAACAAAATATTTTGTTTTCAACTGGACTGTGTGCTGCTGAACTTCTGGGTTTGGGTCCTGTCTTTGGAGGAGGCCGATGCATTTTAGTCAAAATCTCCCCGTATCTTTTGTTGGTCTTAAGCTCAGTGTGTGGGTTTTTCCTGATTTTTGTTTCTCTCCAAAGTAAATGAATAATATTCTGTGAGTAAGATAAAAAAGGTTAATGCCATCCTCATTTCTGTCGAGTTTGATATGAAGCCAACAGTCACTTTGCATAACTAAGAATACAGAGGCTGTGTCTGAAAACACACACTACTCATTACATGGTCCACTATATAGTGAATTCACCATTTTGTAGTGATGTCCGAACTTTGAGTGAGCATTATCATACCCTATACAGTGCACACTCATTATATCCCACAATGCACTGTGAAAAGTAGTGTACAACCAATGGTCACGATAAAATCAATACGTACCATCATGCATTGTAGTTCATAAAGTGGCTTTTGACTCTTAAAGATGAAGAGGAGAGCGACCAGCATGGACACAAAAACACAAAAACATTTATATTCGGAGGCATTTTTACAGACGTCCAGGAGCTGTTTTAATAAATATTGAAGGATTCTCAGCGGAGTAACGTTGACAGGCACAAAACCACAGTCAGTATGCACAAATAAATGAGTTTCAGTGTGAAGATATGTGTCTTTATAAATACAAATTCAGTGCCTTGTCTGTATGTGTTATATTTCTTTGTTTTGTGAAAATACGTTATATAAACGTTATTTATCTTTATAATACGATCCTCGGCCTGAGTTAAGCTGCAAGGTGTAGTTGTGTGACAGCAATGACGTAATTGCGGCCGGTGAGAGATATAGTGTCCAAAATGATTTCATTGTGCTGAATGAGTGCACTCACTATGTAGGGAGTAAGGAATGTGTGTGTGATTTCGGACACAAAGAGAATTGAAGCAAGGGGAACAACTAATCTGGGTCTGACCAAAGATTAATCATAAGCACTTTTCACTTTGAAAACTTTTGTTGTCACAGTGAAACTAGCAGGCAACTGTCTCAGAATTCAAGAACGGACAGATACAAGACTGAAAAGAAGCTTTTGTTTTAACTGCAGAGGAAGTAGGCAGGTTTACCTTAAAGGATGATGAAAAGACAATATATTTAGACTGAATTATTCCTCCTGAACTTCATGTATTAACAGGATTTTCTGCTCCTCAGGTCTGGACTCTGGTTTTGTCACTCTGCCTCGGCTCTCCCGCTCCGAGCGTCAGCAGCCTTCCATCTCCCTCCCTACCTGCCGCCCCCCCAACATCCACCGCGGCTCTCTAACTGACCCCACTGATGCCATCTTATCCACCTGCTCCTCCTCCGTCTTGAGCTGTGACGCTAAACCAGCAACTGCTTACTCTGACTCCCTTCCCTCACTCACCTCCTTGGATAACTTCACCTTCACCTTTGACCTCGGTCCCTCCCTCATGAGCGAGGTGTTCGGCCTGATTGACAGCCACCTGGAGGACCCCGGCCATGCCTGGGAGGGAGAGGAGGCGGGATCAGCGTGTGGGCTGACCAATGAGGGATCAGAGATGGACTCAGCTACTATCTCATACGTGGATTCCCTCCTGAGGGAGGACTGCGGGGACAGAAAGAGCCCGCACGACGCCGAATGGGAAGTAGAAGAGGAGGAGAGTGTGATGGAGGTGAGCAGAGTCGGGCTTTCAGTTACAGTCCCTGATGTGGTGATAGGGTCTCCTGAAAGAGTGAAGTTGGGGATGGGGATGGAGAGTGAGCGCTTCCAGAGTGCTACAGATGTGCTTGCTCGCCACTATGGCATCAGACCCTTAAAGGGACAGAGCAGGATTGAGGCGAAAGATCCTGAGACGATGATCATCAGCCAGCCCAGGAAAAATATCTCCTACAACTACATGGACGATGAGGATGAAATTAAAGTCTAAACAAAGCAAACACTCAACACTTAACTTTAAACAAATCTTCTCTGATGTTTGGTCTTTAAGAAATTCCCAAAATCGTTTTTTTTAATGGTCAATGAGGCTGGCTCTTTTGACTGGATGATCATTAGAACTATACCCCGTGCTTAAAGCGGATCTTTTACTTTATACGCCCATGCTTTAAGGATTTGCAGTTTTGATGCAAAGCTGTTGATGAATGTATCTGAAAGAAGTTAAAAAAAAAGACTTGATGCTGCATGTTTCCTAACGCTGCACAGAACGGGGCAGAATGCTTATTTCCTAAAGGACTGGGCTTGAAAAAAATGACTCAAACAAAAAGGAGGCATGGAAAGTGAGGGCGTGCAAGACAACGTGGTTTAAGTTGTCTCCAAGGAAACACAAACTTTAGTAAATGCAGAAGTTACAAACCTTATTCCTCACTTTAAAGTCAACACTTCATCGCTTCCTCCATGGACTGTAAATAAACGAGCACGAGCCTGAGTGACATCATCCATAGGTTTGTGAAGGGCGGTTTTGGAAAGCTATCCTTAACTGAAATGCTGACTCTGTCAAACTTTCGTTCAACCTACAGACAGGCAAAGAGCTGGAGCTGAGGCGGGCCTTAAGCCTCCTGTCAAACTGCTACAACATGGCAACTTGCAGTCAGATCTGTCACGCCCTTAATTTTCCACAACTCTGATTATTAACATGTTAATTTCTGCTGTCAAAACGGACATTTCAATATGGGGTGTATACAGGACTTCTGAGTCTTTTGGAGCCAGCCTCAAGTGGACACTCGAGAAACTGCAGCGTTGGCTTCAGTTTTCAACAGGACGGAGGATTCTTGTTGCAGGTCCAGTTGCTACAGTTGAGAACAGTGAGAAGTGGGGATTCAAAAAAAAAAGTAACCTTATAAGAAACTTCTGACATCACTACAATCTTCGTCAACTTTTCGCTCAGGAATACACTACCAAGAAACAAAAAAAAGGGAAGGAACACGAGACGCCTGTTATCTCAGACTTCGCTAGATACACCAGAGAAATGCAAACATCTCGCTCTTCATGGATCGAGGGAAGATGTCAAGTCATACCTGTTTGTGCTTGTAGCAACTTAAGACTGAACCTTTGCTCATTGTATGCTGCAGACCTCCATTATAAATACTCTGTGCACCTTTCATGATAATGAAGTCTGACTCCTGTATTATTTTTATAGAAGAATCGTCCTATATTTGATCTTTTATACAGCTGTAAATGAAGATTTTAAATGACCTCCTACTAATATGTTCTTGTGTGCTATTTGTACTAGTATGAGCACCTGCAGTACACAGTGCAATCCACATCCTTATGCTGCAGTCATGACCAATGATACACTATGCTGAAACTGACAATAAAGATATTTTAGTTGAATGCTCATTTATTTGCATCGTTTTTCAGGTTCGATTTAAACGTATATTCCACAGAAAATCCTCAGAGGAAGACCAAGAAGTGTGTGCAACGTTTTGTCTTTATATTAGATTATTGGAATTTGTTGTGTCCCTATACTAAACATTATTTTAATTATGTAGATTCACAGAAAATACACAGAAAGAAACACCACGAACATGCAGTGGAGAGCAATTATGGATGGTTGGATTCATTTATTATGTATCTTTTAAATCCAGAAAGTTTGATTTCTCTGACATCACCTTTGCATTCTATGAAATACATCAGACATCAGTACCAAAGAATAAATAAATAATAGTGGTTACAGAAATATTGGTACACCATAACCTGACCAAGCTGCAACACCTCAATTCAAACAGATATCCAGAAAAGTATCAAACTTTACGATTCCTGTAACCTAGCAGGCTATAAAACCTTGTTTATTTAGAGGTAACTCCAGAGTAGGGAGCAGTACCATAACACTAATATAGGCCAAAGCAGGCATTCATCTATACATATATACATATTCTCCTTTGAATACAAGCAACTTCTTGGTTGTTTTCTCAAAATCTCAATTTATCATCCGTCATATTTAAGGTTGAACACAGATTAAATTCATCCAGATTTGGTTGTCCGCTTTGTTTCTAGCAAGGATCAGGTAATCCAGCTCACTTTTATGCCCGTTGTTCAAAGAAAAACTGGATAGGTTAAAGTTATTTGTGGGACCTTTTTGGCTTTATTAGAAAGGACAGCTGAAAAGAGACGGGGAAATGTTGGGAGGAGAGTGTGGGGGATGATGACGTGCAGCAAATGATCGAGGTCAGATTCGAAACCACAGCCGCTGCAATGAGGACTAAAGCCTCTGTACATGGGGATGGCGTCATAACCGTTAGGCTATCCAGCGCCCTGGTACAGACTTTTAAGGATTACCAAATCCTGACTCCCAAGGGGACTTCACGATGCATATTTGTACACAGGGGGCCCGAAATCCACACAAACAGAAAGAGCCTCACAGCTGCTTCCACTGAGTCATTAATCAGTGTTTGATAAAGATGCTAGTTGATGCTATATTTTATATGTACCAAATCTTCCATTCATTCTTTCATACACTAATATTTACCTCATATACTTTGTAACTGAATCACAACAGCCTTCTAATGCAATCTCTCTCTCTGTGTGTATATATATATATATATATATATATATATATATATAGAGTACATTATATGGGGTTATATGGGGTTTTTATGCTTTTATTTAGAGTTAGGACAGTGGAAATGTGGCTAGAGAGAGAGTGGGGAATGACATGCAGGAAAGGAGCCACAGGTTGGATTAGAGCCCAGGCCGCCCGCCTGGAGGACTACAGCCTACGTACATGGGGTGCACACTAACCACTAGGCTTCCGGCGCCCTACAAAATAAATATTTTAAAGATGTTTTAGAATATCATCTACCTTGTTTTATTTCTACTTTATTTTCCTACTTAAATTCAGGCTGAATCCAGCCCTCTGCTGGCATGTTTTTTTCAAGTATCCTAATCCTAAACAAGAAAATGGAGGCTTTATCTCGATGAAAGTCAGGACTGGATGGATAACTCGATATACCGGGAACATTGAATAAATAAAAGGTATGGATGCATGTCTGCTCAGGGCCTCTGTTAAATAGTATTTTGATGCTGCCCACAATGATCATTGGGTCTCCTTCCTGTTCAGAGCTAGCATTCCCTCATCATCAGAAACTTGCTGTGTTACACTTGTAGCCCCTGTAGCCATTGGAAACATAGTATGATTAACACTTTTACCAAAGGTAACATCATTTGCGTCATATTTCTCACTGTACTATCGAGGGAACCCCTTTCGCCTGTGATGGCGGAGGAAGGGGTGGCGGGCAGTTCGGGGCTTTCAGTCCAGGCTTTTTCTGAGGAGGCTTTTTGAGGCTGAGGTTCTGACCTCTGGGTGCTGGCGTCGGCGGCTGGGTCCTTGTCTCTGCAGCGACTGGGGCTGTGCTGGGAGGCGCAGGTGCCGGCACTCTGGGTTTAGAGTAATGAACTGTCAACTGCTCGTTTGGCTGGAGGGGTTTGTTCATGTTGAAAGATCTTTTTGCTGGAGGATGAGAAAAAGAAGACGACAGGATTACAAGTGAGTGTCTTGAGAACAACCAGAATAAGAAAAGTGTTTTAATTCAAGACAGTCTTCTTCAGTACACGCTATCTGTGTAACTGTGAAGAAAGAAGCCACGAAAAAACAAATAAAGTGTAATGTATACTGGATTGTACATGTAATTATTCTATATTTAATAAATTAAAAGATTATCTTAGTTCAAGCTTGACCACAAAGCTTTGAATAAAAAACATCAAAATCTTCCTTTTAAAAATGTAAAGGTAAAAGTTAAGATCATACCTAACAAAGCACACCCTAACTCAAATAATATATAGATAAAGGATGACCATAGCCCACAGTGGCTAATACAAGCTACATAATCAAATAAATCAGTGATACTCAACCCGAGGCTCTCGAGCCACATGTGGCTCATTTGGGACTAGTTGTGGCTCTTTTAAGTCCAAAGTCATTATTTAAAAAAGGGAAACATTGTCAGCAGAACTTATTCTTTGCAAGTCATGTCACTGTGTTTCCCACTCATACTTCAGGAAAGAAAGAGGTTTTTTGATTGTGGCTCCTGCAGAAATCGTTTTTGGTCAATGTGGCTCTTAAGTCTAACAAGGCTGAGTACCACTGAAATAAATGATCTAGTTATTGCCAAATGTTGTTTAAAACTGTCAAAATAGTGACCTCAGAAACATGAATAAATCCAGGTGTCTGTTACGACTATTCTGAAGCTTTGAGTTTGACATTTTGCAGGTACCTTACAGGTTTCTGTAAGTATATTTGGACACAAGTTCCACATGCGTCTGTTACACTATGATTCTTGTTGACAGGTGGTGTTGGTTTGCAGCTTGTCAACCACAACATAGCCAGGCCCAGAGACATACCATACCGTATTGTGTATTATACTTTATCTGGGACCATCATTTCCTTAGTAAGTGTCATGATGTACTGAAGGTGACTTTAAACAATTGATTGAGAACACAAGCTCGTTATGTGAATGTTTACTGAGGTAGTAAATCATATCAGACGTCTGATCATTTTCTGTAAGATTTAGATCATTCATTTATTTTATGGGAAAAAAAAGTAACCCCCTGTTGGCCATCAGTGGGAATGCAGGTTCAAGGTATTTCCCCATTGACTTTGAAACTAAGAGGCCAAATCAACTTAATTTATTAAGTCTATGAATTTGCTCGAGTGGCAGTGGGTGTGAAAGTAAAATACGCAGGACGGTTCTCATTAAGCAAAAGACATAAAGACGTACAGTCAACAAAACAACAAAAAAGTTTGTTTGGAAATCAGTTTTTCAGTCAGATGAACAGATCAGGAGAAGAAGACTTATACGGGAAAGTATTTCAGTTACAACAGCAGAGAGATGACGCACAACCGGAAAGGATGATATTTTGGTCAGTGGTCTGAGACTTCCTGTTTCCTGTGTACTTCCTGGTTATTACAATAAGAGCACCAAGACCTGACAAGGCCCCGTTTTGACTTTGTGAGAGGAAACAGATAGAAGTAAAGAATCTGTACAGGACAACTTGACACAATAGAAAGAGACGTTTCAGTAATCAGACATGCTTGTGACCACCGTATATGTCGGGGCACCATTAAGAAAATACATCTCAGCAAAAAGCAATTCTCAAGACGATTACTTTATGTGTAACACAGAGAACTATTAAACCTGTGAAAATAAAGATTGATTTCATTTTCCTTCCCCCCAAAGGGACTTCCTGGAATCTGATAAAACAACACTGATTATGTCGTAGTGATGTAATACCAGTTATGGTAGCATTGGGTGTGAGACTCAGTCTGTGTTGTAAACGTGATCAGTCCATTTGCATTGTGGGTAAAGCTAAGCTCTTTTTGTGTTTGGTGAAACTTGTTTTCAGAACTTAAAAGTCACAATAATTCATCAACTGCCGCTTTAATTTTGCTTTTAATTTATATATAATCTCTCTCCTGGGAGTTCCCAAAGTCAAAACAATGAATAAGAGTGTTGTACTAACGTGACTGAGCGCCTTGTGTAATAGCATAAGTCAGTGTCTAAGCCACTGGGCACAGTGGACTTACGTTTATATGGTGAGGTGATCTTTACACTGGCTCTTGGAGAATGAGGCGGTGCCTCTAAAATTGGATCCAGCTGGCCTTGATCTGAGCTCTGCCTCTGTGTAGGACTCCTGACCTGACCTGGGTTTGGTGCAGCTCCTGAAGCTTTAGGAAGGTTTGCTGTGGAGCTACAGGCATCAAAAGTGTTTGGGAAAACAACAGGGCTGGCATTAAACAGTGGTGAGCTGCTGGATGTTGCGTTTGGATGACTTGAGGCCGGTGTCTCAGCTGCAGGGCTGGACCAGGTGGAGGTGCCACCGCGACTCACAGAGCCAGATTTCACCAGGCAGAAAATGCCGCTGTCCTGAGAGGCTGAGCTGATGGAGGAAAAATAGAAAAATGTTCAAGTTTCAGTGAAATCACTGTAATGAGGGAAAAATAGAGTTATTTCTTGCTGCCAAAAGGAGCCACTAGTTTAAAAAAAAAAACCTGGGCGGCTTAACAACCATATATTATGTAATGCAGTATTTGTTCTTGATTTGAGGAAGCACTGTGATTGCGTTTGCATAATGGTTCTCAGAGAGAGGTTTACTACCTGTTTGACTTTGAGAGAGGGAGGTGATATGTGGAGCAGGAGGAAGCTGTAGACGAAGAGGAGGAGACTGTTCTGCTCAATTTCTCCTTTTCCGAGGACAGAGTCTGAGCAACGGGAGCTGGCAGCGTCACATCTGGTACTCCTGGAACTTCTGGGACCTCAAAGGATACAGCTAACCCAAAACACAACAAGAATAAGTGTATCAAAGCTCCAAAAACAGACAACATTTGACCTAGATACAGCAGTCATTTCTTGTGAAATGACTTTTAGTTTCAAGTAATGTTTAGAGGTTTCGATAGTGGGTGCAGCAGCAGCCGCCCCCATGCCTTTGTGGTAGTGGTAGAGTCAGTCATCTCTCAACCGGAAAGGGGTTTGATCCCCATTAACCACATGACGCATGTCCTTGGGTAAGACACTGAACCCCAAATCGATCCAGCTGTCGCGTCAGCGGTGTTTGAATGTGTTTAGTTAACACTGATGGACACTTTGCACAGCCATCAGTGTCTCACTGTGGTGTGATTGCGTGAATGTGACATCACATGCTGTGTAAACAGCACTTTGAGTTGTCAGAAGACTAGAAAAGTTTTAATTTGGGCCTTTACAGGAACAACAAAAATGTATCATTTACTAAATATTTCATAAAAGAGCATAGAGATGGGGAAATACAGGTTTCAATGAGGCTCCACAGGTCATATATGTTTTTCTACTTTAAGCTGTCCTCTATGTGAACATAAAAATAATAATATTATTAAACCAATGGAAATTAAAATTCAAAAGCAACATCACAGTTGTTTTTAATAACCAGTAATGACCCCTGAAAGACTGAATGCTGATGTACATCAGTGTTTATTTACCTTCAGGGAAAAGACTGGAGCTGTACTGAATAAGAGGCTCGATGACGGTCACCACTTGGACTGATGAAGCTGACGCCATGTCAAACAGAGCAGCTTCTCTAAAGATGCAGACAGGTAGAGAAGAGAAAGAGAACAACAACATGTGGGGCAAACAATGAGGTTATTATTCATAGAAATACAACCAGTGTTACCGCAGTAACATACACATTTTATAACAGTTGTCCGCTTAAGACCAAAAACATTCTGGTTTAACCACAGGAAGAACTTATGCAATCTGGTGCTGAATTAATGCACAAAATCCCCCACTTCTTAAAGTTTAAACCTAGCCAACTAACGTTTGAATCTGCAGATTCACTGGCAGGCCTGGTTTATGAATTTATGAAGTTGTCCCTTTAGTATCCCCATGGTAGTATATTACATACAGAGTAAGGCGGGTCACTTCTCACCCTTCAACTTGTGGCCAGAGTAGGTTTGGCCCCAGGACGATGGCGATGTTACTGGGTGTCATCTTGTTTACGGCCTGGTGCTCAGATAACAGAGACAGGAACTGGACCAGGTACCTGACAGGAACAGAGAGGGAATAAATACAAGTAGACCTGATACAAGAGTTTGTTAATGTGATAATAATAATAATAATAATAATAATAATGTTTCAAATTGTTGAAAATACAAATAAAGCAATCGTCCGTAATGGTTACAGACTGATCCACCCACAGTAGATCACTGGCTCAAAATCATTGAAGAGATTGACGAGATGGAAAGATTGACTTTCTTATTAAGATTGACAAGGGCTTGTGTGATTGTTTTTTAGAAACACAAATTTTGTATGTTCTTAATTGTGCAAATGTTGTTTGTTTTTGTTTCTTGACATCATTGTAAATGAGGGAAACCTCAATGATTTTCGAGGCTTAAATAAAGGTTGATGAAGATGCAAAGAGGTCAAAAGCTTGCTAAATTCAGCTTGCTAACATCAGTTCGCTAACTTCAATATGCTAACTTCAATTTGCTAAAGTCAGTTTGCTAACTTCAGCTTGCTTACCTCAGATTGCTAACGTCAGTTTACTAACTTCATCTAGCTAACTTCATCTTGCTTACGTCAGCTTGCTAACGTCAGCTTGCTAACGTCAGCTTGCTAACTTCATCTAGCTAACTTCATCTTGCTTACATCAGATTGCTAATGTCAGATTGCTAATGTCAGCTTGCTAACTTCAGTTTGCTAACTTCAGCTTGCTTACCTCAGATTGCTAACATCAGCTTGCTAACTTCATCTAGCTAACGTCAGCTTGCTAACTTCAGTTTGCTAACTTCAGCTTGCTTACCTCAGATTGCTAACATCAGCTTGTTAACACAATCTTGGTCTACCTTCATATGCTAATACTTTAAACGATTACGGCAACAAAATGATTTTTAACATTTCACTATAGTGACCATTTTAGTTGAAAGGGTTAGCATGCTAACATTTACTAAACAAAGAAGTACTTAACATGAACATAAAACATAAAACATATGACATAAAAATGAATTCCCCTCAAATTTAAATAAGATACACTGACTCTTTTGAGACATGGTTTGTATCCTATAGTGAGTAATGCTAGAGACAGAAAAAAAAAGGAATGCATGAGGACCTTTGATAATGTTATTCTGAAAACAATCAAACTACATAAACACCTGAGATTGTTGTAGTTTTCTGTTGGTAGTTTCTTCAGTAGGACTCTGAATTGCTCCAGTTTCTCTGTCAGGTCTTTTTCCCTGTGAAGAAAGAGGCCAAACTCAAGAAACAGACTTAAAGCCCTGGTTAAAAATATAAGATGTGTAGTGTAGATATTATACAGACCCTGCTGCTTTAAACCAGTCATTGTAGAGTTCAGATGTCATAAGAGGTTCAGGTAGTTCTCGCAGGTAACACTTCAAAGCTCCTGTAATACCACATCCAGACACATCAATGAATTGGCTTCATAAAAAGCTGATGTAAATGGTTGACTTAATTACTTTCATTTTTTGTGTTTTTTTGGTATAAAGGCTAATAATCCATGATATTGTTGGGGAATTACTTAATTTCCTGACTGTTGCTTAAAATAGCCCATAAAAAAACTTTTATACTATTGTTTTAAAAAATCTCTTGCACACAGGAAACTCTGCATTGAGCATTACTGGAAGCTGCAACATGAGCATTATTTGGAGCCAAAAACAAAATAAAACAGGAAGTTAGAATGAGCCATGAAAGTTGCGTTGGCTGGCTGAACAGGGAAGCAACAAAGAAGAGTGTTCAAAACAGAAAGTCATTCATCCACAAAGAGGAAATTCTTACCTGCTACAGCGTGAGGGTCCATGCTGAACTCGCTGTGGTCAACGTTCTCTTGATCCAAACAACTTTTCAGCCTCTTCACCACTGATGCTGCTGCTGCCAGACGGAACAGACCCTGAAGGACGAGGAGGGGGAGGAAGGGAATGAGGACATGATGGAAAGAGAGTGGGCTTGCTGTGGATGACAGCAGGGCGTCTCTCTAAAAGAAACCATCTTGAATTCAGCCAATACAAAGAGCAGGTGGATATAGGTTTTAGTCGTGGCCTGATTCACCGCTGACACTAAGACCACAGCAGTGCTTGCCAAAAATATTTAACAGCCCATCAACAGTCTGTAAGAGATTTTATCTAACGCACACAAAAATAATCATATGAATTGCCATAGCAACTGCACTACATTTAAACTCGTAAAGTTAAAATGTTCCAACCACTAAAGTGATTACATACCGAATGACCCAAATGGATTGATTTATGGGGTCCTACTGTTTTCCAAACGTCATCTTTGGATTTCCTCTGCATTTTGTAGTGTGTACATTACGCCTACCCAAAACACAAACTGCATAAATGACTTTACTGTTAGCAATGCTAGCTGTTAGCTATTAGGAATAGAAACATTGCTTGGTCAGCTGATTGCTCAGTCCATCTGCTTGGTCTAGACTGTGATGCTTAAACAACTGATGTTTGACTTTTTATAAAGGAAATTGTGTAAGTCATGAGATATCCATTTAAAGATATCAACTTCAATTGTGCAACACTTTAGTTTATGACTAAATATCTGCCAAACCGAGGGTAGCATCATTACATCATCCTCCGCTGTCCAATGTGCTAGCTAATGTAAGCATGCTAAAAGACTCAGGTAACATTATAACTCCTTTAAATAGCATTTAAGCACTGTCATTGTAAGCATGTTAGCATCTACCTCAAAGCACCGCTGTGTTAGTATCATAGAGCTACAAGCTTTTTTAAAGAGTTTTTTAATGTCATTGAAAATATTACTAAAATGTTTAAGGTATTCCACATGGGTGAAGTGATGTGTATCTACAACTAAAATGTGTTTATAAAAATAAGTTTTAAACCGGCTAGCATTGGTTTGCAGCACTGAAGAAATTAATAAAAATAATAATTTTTAAAGGGAGAAGACATTACATTCTTCAAATAAGAAAATGTCAGAAGTCTGGGGCAAAATAAACACTTGAACAATTAATCCTTAAGAATAAATATGATCGAAAGAGTGTATTCAGGTTAAAAAAAGGTTGTTTCAATCTGAGTGTTATGTTTTGTTGTGAACTCGTAGCTTCATCCTGTCAGGCCTACCTCCTCCCTCATGCCTGTTCTCAGCAGCATGTGAATACACTCCTGAATGGGTGCAGCGATTTCTCTCTCACTCAGAGACAGATGGGAGAGCAGAGGTTCCCCGTAGACGTTCTGGTTGTTGAGGCTAAGGGCCGACCCTGTTGAATCAGGTAAGTACACAGAGGGCATAAGAACACATGTAGAAATATTACAGTGCAGCTAAAAAATGTACAAAGAGGTGCCAAATAACTCTACCTTTTTGACTGTGGTTTTCCTTGAGCTCGCTGATGTTTTTTTCCAAAAACTCATGGGAATGTTTGTGGTATTCTGCTTGCAGCTCGAGAAGCTAATGTTGGTTTAAAAAAGAGAGAGAGAGAAGTAAAGTTTGCAGGGTCGATAGATACAGGTCTGTGTCCTCAAAGACAACAGCTTTGTGTATAGTTTCTGAGAAATAGATCTGTTATTATATTGTTTGCACACGTGGATGAAGAAATAGAAAGTTATCAGAAGTGCAACTCACACAGATGAAGTAGTTAGCGTAGTCTTCCTCTTTAGTTGCAAAGTGGTACAGATCTGCAGAGTACTGGTCCTGCATAAACACAGAAAGCTCAGGTGTAAAGGTTTCTGATTCCCAGAGGGGGCAGAGGTTCAGTGTCTTGTTGTCTTGTTAAACAAAACTGCACCATTACAGATGGATGCTGCAGCAGGAAACACTGATACCTTAATGCTCTCCAACCTCCTCCAAGCTTCCTCCACTTCCTCCCTGAGTCCATCCTGCTTGGCCTGGGCACCAGTGCTGGCTTGACTCCTAAACACACACACCAATGTCTTTTACATTGTGTATATGTGATGTACCACAGGTAGCCCTGACTGAGCCTGTTGCTTACCTGATTCTTGCGTTGTTCCAGTCAGTGTGAAGCTTTGCGAACTGTTTCTTGTTCTTCAGAATTTCTGGCAAATCCTCCTGTAAGGAAAACAAAGACAGTTTATTGGGAACACACTCCTTTTATATTGAGTGTTTTATATCAGTCTCATGTGAGGAACTTTTAATTTCTGAAGATTTTTTTGCGCCCCCTGTGGACGAAGTAGTCTTATTTCTTTTCTGACGACAAATATCATCCTGTTTTCAGTCAAATGCACGACAAAGTGTGAGTATTTTCTTTGGAATATATGACAAAAAATAACTGTTTCTTCAATGTGCTATATCTCGTCCGGTCTGGCAGTGGTTACGGGCATTCAATATGAAAATATAGAAAGAATAATAATTTTTTACCGATGGTTTTGTTTGCTTTTGACGGTCATCAAACATCAATTCATTTCTTTACATTTTGAAGCTTAAGCCAATTGTCCTTGGATTTATTCACATTATAGGCACTGATAGAAAAAACACATGTAAGCTAGACACTTCTGGATGGATATACAGGAAGGATGCCAAAATAACACATTTACCTAATGCTGCACTGCAATCCAATGAAATGAAGTGAACAACTGTTTTAGCTTGAATCGTGTGATACTATCAGAATGCTGATGTTGATCTATCAACATTAAGATTGGAAAGCAATACTAAAACTTTTTACAGTATTAATATGAGAATTGTTTCACATGTTCTGGTTCTACCTGTAACTTTTAGCTCCTTGCTTTATGGCAGTGTATCTCCTCATTGTTACCGTTATGACTTCAAACTCGGCCACAGTTTTTGTTTGAAGTAACGCTGTGAGAGACATTCTCACCTCGCTCAATTTGTTGAGTGGCTCCAGAACGTCCTTCTCCACTTTCATCTCAAAGTCTGCTAGCATGCTCGCTAGCATCTTCTCCATGAAACAGCACATCTCCAACACCCTCCTGCCATAAACACACACACACACACACTTGGTCAACACCTCCTGAACCATATTTTTAAAAGGTCACAGAATAGAGAGTAACAAGAGCTAAACATCAACACGACTGGCTTCTCAGAACTATAAATAACTGACATTTAAATCAATCCACTCATAGTTTGTAGACGGGCTGTGGATCCTCTTTCTTCATTTCATCCAGAACTGAAAGCCAGCAGCTTTATTTTGAAGTCATGAGTTTACACACATGACAGCAGAACACAGCTGAAAGTCAAGAGGTCAAGGACATTGATGAGAGAAGGGATAACTTTAAAAAAAAAAAAAAAAAAAATCAAACTTGCACCTGATAGAGGAGCCAGCGTCAAAGTCTTTGAGGCTCTCTGCCATGCTGATGGACAGCAGCATCAGAGGGAGCTTTTTCTGTGGACACAGAAGCAGATATAACACCTTTCAGCAGTGCTGTAAGCGATTACCTTTACTCAAGCAGTTGATAAATAATTTAACTTTTTATTTGGTAAAATTATTCAACTGCCTCAGTGAGAAGTTATTGAAGAAATTAGGATATTTGCAAAAATATGTTGCTAGATTATAAAATAATATAATCAATCAATCAATTAATCACAATTATATTTAAAAAACAACTTTTTTTTTTATTGTAGCAGCTTCTCAAAGGTGAGGACACGCTGCTTTTGCTTGAAAAATGATTTTAACATAATAGTTACTTTTTTGGTTTGAACTGTTGGTTGGACAAAAATATCAATGTAAAGGTGTCACTCTGGGTCCCTTCCTGCCCTAAGAACGTTAAATGTTTAAATCAAAGTGCTCCACTCAGCTGATTAAAATAGATACATCGTACTTTTACTTTGAAGGCTAGAATTTAATAAAATATATAATAGAACACGACAGACAGAGGGACACATTTTATGTACAAAGTATATATTTACTTTTAATACTGTAAATTAAGGAAATTGTCCTGATTATGTCACACCATTTATTTACTTTAGTATAAATCAATGCAGGAGTTTTGTTTGTAACAGAGACTTTTTACTGTTAAGTAAAGGATCTGAGATTTCCCCCACCATCGACTGCCAGTAATCATTAAACGTTCTTGGCATTGTCCTCTATGTTTCAGTACCATTCGTTTTTCAGCCTCCAGTCCAGACTGACTCTGCATGCAGCTTTGCAGCTTCTTGTGAAGGACCTGAGCTGCCTTCTTGGCCGGCTCCACCCGCTGCTCCACCTTCATTCAGTCAGAGAAACACGGTAATGATTAGAGCTGAAACTATGGCTCGGTTCACCAGCAGCAAAGATTGTCAATGTGTTGGTGTCTGATGTCTCATGAGAGTATCACTATGTCAATTTGCTTAACACTTTTAAAGTCATTGATTGTTTATTTTAAGATAACGGACTTTGTGGTAATAAGTTGTAAAATGAGTCTGATGTGTTTTGTCTTTATTATACAAATAAACAACGTTATACAGTGATGCTTTGTTGCTAATAATTCATTCATAACAGAATTAAAAACTGTAGGGATGAAATGTGATTTTCCCCTCACCAGGACCAGATCTTCATGTAGAAGTTCGGTGGCATCTTGTGACCTGAAGAAGTGGATTGAGTGTTGGTTAGTGAAAGTGTAAACAAACAACTATGGTTTCAACACTAGGAACATTTAAAACATATAACATTTCTATGTCTGCCACTAAACTATTTAATTTGTTATTTTATCATCAGTTGATAGGCTTGAGAGGATTATTACTGTGTTTTATCGTTTACTCAACACAGGGTTGAAAGTTTGAGAAAAGTTTTCAATTAAATCAAACTTAAGGTGCACTCACACCTGAGCTGTTTGGTCCATTTAAAATTAACTCTGGTCCGCTTGAAAACGGGGGTCTTGGCTCACTTCCAAGGGAATGTAACTTTATCTCTATTTTATAGATCAAAATACAAAAACTGTGGCACTCTGCGAGATGCCATTCTTCTACTGTCCTGTTGTTAGCTTCAGGGTCATAGGTCAGCATTAGAAGGCTACAGCCCAAACTTGTGGTGGGGGGCTACCGTACACATTTGGCAGGCTTTGGTGCACTTCACAAGTGCAGTGTGAACACAAACTGAACCAAAGTGTTAAATACAACAATGTTGCAACTTCACCCCTGAATCTCACCTACAGTACCGGTAGTTCACCGAACTTCATTTTGTGAAATCGGCCTTAAAAAAGCAAGAAAATAGACCAACATTTAAACATTCAACCATGAGGTGGTTGGTCTGTGTAGCTGGACTTGCATACAAAATGTGACAATTCAACGACGACTTATTTTCTCTCTTGTTTTGAGTTATATAAATGGAATAATTTGAATAAAAACCCCATGAACAGTCTACAACAAAATCCACCTACCAGCACGTCTCAAACTCACTGACACTGTGTTTCTCTCAATTCATATCTTAAACTAACTCAACTTAAACTTTGATAAAAGAAAACTTATGATATAAATTTTTTGTGTGACTTCTTTCTGTTACCAGTTTTAATGCTTTATTATGATAACTGGATGCTACTACTGGCATCATATTTGTGAAAGACACACATCTCTCCATTAATTACTCTCAGCAAGGAAGGGAATAAACATTTGTCGTTTAACCATTCCTTCATCAAATCATTTCAAACGTGTGCTCTTTTCATATATTAGCATTAACCTCTTTTTTGCTTCTTCAATGCGGCTGTTAAATCATACATATTACTTTTTAGAGGAAACAATGTTAATGTTTTTGACAAATAAAACATAATTTAAAAAAAGCTTGATGATGTTCATAGCAAGTAGCCAGGTCTTTTCACCAAAGGTGTGCCACATGGCCCTGTTAAAGGACCCCCTCTTTTCTTACATCAATGTTAATGATGCTCTTAATAATTAAAACTTCTGTACGCAGATTAGACAATTGTCTTCATTGTTACCACTCACTGACAACCATTTGCTTTTTATGATTTATGTTTTTCTTCGTCAATGCATTGGTTGTCTTGATCAGATCTGTCTTTAATAATGAAGGCATCTTGAGATGACACTCATGTCAGTAACAAATTTAAAATGGTACAAAGGAATAACATGAAGAGAGTACAAATGTTTTAAAACGTTATGTTAATTTGACAAAATAACTATTTCCACGTTAGCTCACACAAAGTATAAATTAGTTCTATTTAACATTTTGAAATCTATTTGGCTGCATTTCCGGGCTGGGGGTATTTATAACATATTGAAAAGAAACCCATCAAAAACACTCCACTATTGTCCTGTATGCCACTGTACACTGAGACTTCTTCTACTCTGAGCTCTCAGTATAACTGATGGCTTTTCTATCAAGAACATTTTTAGGCCTGACTGACATGCAACACAAAGCCAGAAACCTAAACCTGGCATGTGATTGCTGCAGCTGTGGTTTACATCTGAACAAGGTCTGTGAAAAGAGAGGGGGCTGACACGCAGTGCAGCAAACTCCTCTGCAACTCTGAGAACATCTTCGAGCTTCTGTCACAGAAAAAGGAAACCCAGCCCATGTTTGTAGAGAAGTCAGATGAGCTTCAGCACTTCCAAGGTGTTGCTTATTTCCTCCAGTGAACATGTGACGTTTCAAAACACAAAGTCGAGTAGAATTCCCCCATGTGTTTCAACCTCACACCAGTTCCTTTATTTTTCTCTCACTCGTTTCAACTTTTTCTTTTGGGGCGTAAAGAGAAGGGCAAAGGCAGTAAAGTTACATCGAAGCATGTGAGAGGATGTATGCTTTAGTAGGAAAGAAGTGTGTGATTTGTGGAGGTTTTTTTTTTATCTCTTAACTGATTCTAAGTGTCATTCAGTGCTTAAATAATAAAGGGTTATTCCCTTACTGCAGTTACACAAAGATGTGATACAGCCAAATCCTTGTAGAGGCATTTTTGGGTATTACACTTAAAAAATGTGGCTTTATAGAAAAGATATTGTAGATGTAATTTTTATTGAGTATGTGGAGGCTTCTACATTTTTTTTTTTACACATTCATTTTATATGTATAGATTTAGTGCAAATAGAAACTGTGAACTGGGTGAGAAGTTGCTGAGGTAAGTTCAGTGCTGCAAATGCACGCTGTGTGGGTTTATTATTAAACCAGTGTGCAGACTCCTGCAAACACAAACGTACTCACTTGTTGAAGCCTCGTGCTTGGAGGTTTTTACCAAAAAAAAGACAGACAGCGTGTGGATGTATAATTTGGTCAACAGCTCCTTTGCATATGTCACTATAATGCAGATACTATCTATCTAAATCAGCAGTTATCCGCATGTTCAGCTCAGAGACAAGCTGCAGGCGACTCATGAACCTGGTGCAATCTACAAACACTGATAAATAACCACTGCCTTGACAAACCGTGTTGCCAACGTATTTTAGAGCCTTGAGTTATTTTGTTCCTCGGAGGTGTGCTGAATCTATTTGGCTCTCATGTATGAACCTCAGGATTCCCTCAAACCCCAAACAGCATTCTTTACTTTGAAGAGGAACCAGAGACTGTGGTGTTCCAGCTTACCACACTTGTACAACACTGTCTGCAACCAAGAAAACGAGAACTCAGAAACCGATGTTAACTCAACATTTCCCAAAAGCAGAATACAGCACTGAGATGTACATATGCCCTTTACAGCAGGTAGTGAGACACAGCCTTTGTAAGTCTGTTGGTGTAAAAGGGTTAAGGTTTTATAACTGGAATCATCCATTTAAGGTTTGATACTGGGGAAGATAATGTGCTGTAGAATTTATTTTTTAAATGAGAGTACCTTTTCTGTTAAACTAAAACCACTCTAATGGGCAAGAAACAATTAGAGGAAATGGGTAACTACTCAAGCAAAGTGAGTCAGCCTTACAGCAATAGAGAAATCTGACAATCAGCCACAATAGTCTACTGGTCATACCAGACCGAGGAACTGGAAGTGGGGAAAACTTCAAAGCGTCCTTTCTTGATTAAATGTGAATTTTATTGATTATAAACTCAAATTTAGATTGACAAGATGAAGGTTGTGATAGTTATTCTTTCAATATTTATAAATAGATACATTACATTTTAAACTAAGGTTCATTGTTACTGCTTTGACCGGAATGAAATGATTCCTAAATGTTAATCAATACACTGAAAACCTATCCTACATGGAAACGTTACTGTGGGCTTCACATGAGGTCTTGGGAGTCCGATGAGTCTAGTTTACGTCAGAGAAAGTCTTAAAGTGGCTTATTACATTTTCAAAGTAGTAATATAAGAGAGCACAAATCACTTACTTTGCTGCAGAGCCAAACTGCTTCAGGATGCTCAGAGACTGCCGGAGCATGCTGGCAGCGGAGTCAAAGCAGCGTTTCTAGCTGATCACCTCCGTCCAACTCAGCCTCACAAGAAATCCGGACCAAGAAAACCTCCACACCAAGTCACAGCCGAGTTACTTCATCAAGGAAAGATGATACAGACGGTTCAGCTTCGTCTCTGTAGGTGTTTGTGTTTTGGCAGTCGGTCTTGTTCTTGTTTCAGAAGCGTGCTCTGAAGACACGTCTAATACTGACAGTGAATGAGGAAGTTGCACACCGTGTCAGTCGTGTGGAGGAAGAGAGATTTTGAGACGATTGACTGTAACACTATGATTTAAAAGTTATTTGATGAAGACAACACTACATGTATTCATAGTGTAGAATGATTGATTTAGCGTTAAGACTTCGAGAGAGGCTGGGATTTAAATGGTACAGTATTTTTTCAATCAGTTTTCCAGAGGCAAAGTTGTTTAGCAATAGCAGATTAACATCCCTTTAACATCATAAATCAGCAGTATTGGAGTCATGGGTGTGTTTTGAGTGAGTAATACTTAGACCCCCCTCCAGCACTGCATGTTAGCATGTTGGTGTATAACAATGACGCTGTGTGTTAAAGAATTAAAAGGATGTGAAAAGGCCAAAAGAGGAAACTGTCACCAATGGTGGCTGTAAAAAAAAATTTTTTTCTTCATCTAGTTTTAAATAGTCAATATCAGAATGTGGCTATTCGCAGGCCTCTGATTTCCTGCTGCGGCGTTAAACACTTTAAGGCCAGCAGATATGGAGGCACAGCTTTCTATAAAACGTGTCACAGATTGATCAATCACAACATTAATCCTGTCAGTTAATCCTGAAAAACAAACTCCACTGAGGGACCTTTTATCCTGGATTCATAACAAACTTCTTCCTCCACAGTTTACCATAGATATCAACTTCTTTTATTCACTGTATTATGCCTCTTGTTACCTTGTGAATAAAAGTGATTTTTTTTCACTTATCTGTGCTCTTCAGCCACTAAAAATGCTAATGGGGCTAGCTAGCCACAAGCGAGTCCCTGACGTTGATCTGTTTGCCATGCTGGGCAGCTGAGACACAAATAATTAACGGGTTGTTTTTTCATTATGGCTTGAAAGCTGCTATTTTTAGTAAAGGTAAAATATGACAGTAGTTTGAGCCTTAAGAGTTAATTTTTGGTTTACAGCGAGAAAAACTCAAGTTTATCCTAAAGCAGGTGAACATTCTGCATGTTCATGTCTCTATTTCAAACAGGAAATTAAGTTTATTGTTAAGATTAAATATTGTCTGTATTCACTCATTTTCTGAAATAATTTTTTTTAAACCCAACATAAAAAAAACCTTAAGCAAAAAATGTATTATCAATATGTAACAAAACACAACTATTGTAAATAAACCCTTATTCATCAGACTATTTAAAAGGTATTTTATCTTTTGACAATTACACTCTGCTGTTTGCATGGTTTGACAAAAATTTAAATTGTTCATTTTAAGTCAACCAATACAAAAAATCAAAGGCTGAGCCTGGTGCCTCCGTCTGAAGGACTGCGTGCATGATTATTAAACTTGATTCAGTTTGAAATAAATCAGTTTATTTCTTATTCAAATCTTTCATTGTCTTTAAGAGCACAGTTGTGATCCTGTGTTCTTCCAAAGTGTTGGTATGAAAATTTGACATTTAGGATAAGATGGAGGGAGCCTACTTTTAAATATTTAGTCAACGTAAAACTGTTTTAAAGTTCTTCATATGTGTGAGGAAAAAGCTTTGCATGTCCGTGTCCCGAGCTCAGTAAATGCTCACATGTTTCTGTTGACATCTGGTAATCTGTGTAAGGTTAACATTGTATTGTTGAACAGTATCCAGCTACACTTTGATTGCTGAACATCCCTCTTTAGATGTTGGTAGTCCAGAGCAAACTGTTCCAGGAGTACGCTGTGCCTGTGAGATGCTGCAATCTAGTGGTTGAAACCAAAAAATGCACAGAACAACATCAGTGGAGCGGCCCGACAGTTTAAACTGTTCCGTAATAATTTAAGATTTGACTATAATTTACGATATTAAAGACAAAAGTCTTCTGCCATAGCATCAGTTTTTGTCTCAACAGATTCTCCTAGCTCCAGCTGTTTGAGGGAAGTGCTGGTTATAGAAATACAAAATATAATTCTGAACAATTTGAATATAAAACACAACATAGTCAGTTATCTATTAATGAATTTATTCTTAAAAATGACTTCAAATACATGATGAAAATCTTGAAGAATTTATTTCTTTTAAAGCTGTAGCTACATTTCTTATTATGGTTTCATCTGTTCATTCTTTAATCTATGTTTATCTTTTAGGGGATACCATTTTTCCTGATCCAAGACTTGTCCAAGTCCCCCACATCCTGAGTTACCAGTTTGTTCTGAACACCGGTGCAGTCGAAGCGATACAAGAACCATGCTGTGAATCCTCCCACTGCTAAAATGTTACATTTCACTTTAAATTGATCATTTTTGAAGACTGTTAATAGTGGTGCTGGTACGTGATCGCATTACATTCTAAGTGTACCTAATAAACTAACTCTGTGTTGGTTCTTTGTAGCACTTTAATTGCAGGAGAAAGACAGTGAACTGGTCTTGTGTAAACTTTGGAAAGGCAACAAAAGACACAACCCGTCCGTTAGAACCACCGAGGATCCCATCGGAAACAGGGCAAGGCCACAGTTACTGCTTTCCAGCACTGATGTTCAACAACTTAAAAAAAAAAAAAAATGCTTATTTTAGGCAATTCAAGTAAAATTCTAAGTGCCTTGAGAAAAGAGAGTACAAAACACTTTTTGAAACACTTTTGAAATTATAGCAATGACATAATTCAAGTGAGCAGTGTACATTTGTAGATGGGGACAATGACAAATCAAAAGATGTAAAATATTCAACCGTCTACACGTACTGTGGTAGGGGGACACCGAATTATTCCAGCTGTAAATTTGAAAAATGGCTCAAAACGAGGAAAAACCCAAAACTGGAAGAAAGATGAAACAGGTAGAAAAGCAAAAGTTTTGACACGTTTGGAAATCAGGATTCGTTTTTTTGAAAAATTTAGTCAATTTTTTGTGCAATATATCCACAAATTCTAAACTACACTGTATATTTCCTATATATCCGTTTTTCATCTATATAGTGTTCGTGTCTCCATCTGTGTCTGATTTGGCTTTGTACAAAGCGGTTGAGATGGAAGGAAAAGCAAAGCACCCAAAAAAATCCTCATGCACGCTCACTGTAATATTGTCAAGTCTTTTACTTAACTTGTAATAGGTAAAGATGTATGAATCGAAAGGAAAGGAAATAACTTCAGCAGCTTTAGAATTAAAACCATAGTCGGTGGAGAAGAAGAAAGAGGGAGTGAAGCACTTGGAAAACCTGCAATTGTCTCCTCTTTTGGATTGTGAAGAAAACGTAAAGGCATCCCAAATGGTGCATTCCTCTTCATCTTGCTTTGCTCCGCCAGTTTTCCCTGTCATGACAACACGGTCATGGAAATCCCACACCCCTCTGATCTGATATAAGGGACAGGAGTTCAGGAGCCACCCTGATCTTACGCCACTCAAATTGGTCCCCTACCCGTTCTCCTCCTCCAGATCTCCTTCTCTCTTCTTCCCTCGGAGACTGAAGTGCATGTTGAAGCTTGAAGGTGAAGGACTAGCGCTTTGATTTAGTATCTTCAACTTCTTTTTCTGAAATAAGAAACACAGAAAAACATAGATTAGACTGGAAGGTTTGGGTTTAAATATTGTAAAAACTTCCACACTATGACTTTTAAAAGAAGAACAATTGTGTGAATCTTTTAGATGGCTAGTGGGATTTTCTGGCCTTACATATTGGAACATAATACAGAACATGTATGGACAAGTCTTTCAAACTAATCCTTAAGCTAAACTGAGGTTACTGGATCATCATGTCACAATCAGAATCTTTAACACATTGACGATCCCACCACAGAAACAAACCTGTTGCTATGACTCTGTTGTTCTTTGTGGTTGCTAAGTTACTAAAACGTAGAGCTACTTTATAAACTGTACTAAACTGAAGATAATCTAAAGAAAAGCAGAGTTAACTTGATAAATCAAAGACAATCTAACAGCCAGAAGTGATGAAGTCGCTTAAAGCTTTCATGAATGGCACTTTGTGTCAGTTGTTCTGTCTGCTCACCTTTCTTGAGCTCATCTCTTTTCTTGGCAGCATCTTCTCTATTTTTCTTGATGATGGCCAGTCTTGCCAGGTCAGCCCTGGCCTGCTCAGTCTTCCCCTCCAGATGTAGCTTCATGTAGCGTTCCTTTGATTTCTGTTTCTCTATCTCCTCTCTGACAGAGACAACAGGAGGCATACACATAACAATTAGTATTGCTGAGGAAAATGTATTGAAAAACTGATGAGAGCAACCACGGTAAAAGACATTGTAGAATTTGGGATGCTGAAAAAATACAGTAACTTGAAATACCAACATTCCTTTCTTCATTGACTGTGTGTGAACCCACCTTTCCCTGCGAGACAGCTCTCTAGGAGCAGTGACGTCTAATTCAGCCACCTTCTTGCTCTTCTGAGATACACGGTTTGGATTCTCTATCTCTATAAGCCCCTCCACTCCACTCCTCTTCCTAGACTGTGTGCAAGAAGTAACACATTTGTAAGATCAGTGAGACAGAAACCAAAAGCCTTATGTAGGTTAATAAAGGCACAGGCTGGGGATCTTGATAATCAACTTTCTTTTATCCTTTAAAAACATATTTAACTGTTCATTAAAAAAAAAAATCCCCAATTGATGTCAACATTAAACTCCTCCCCTCACTCACATCGGATTCGTCCTCACTGCTGCTCTCATCGCCAGACTCTGAAGCGCTCCCTTTCTCTGCACCAGGATTTTCTTCCTGTAAACATACAACCACATCAGTACTATTGTAATGGTAACATCACGTAAGCAAACTTGTTTTTTGACAAAGGAGTTTTGCTCACCAGCTCCTTCTGTGCTTTCATCTGACGATCTATCTCCTCAGGGTTGCTGAACTGCTTCCCTCTGCCCTTGTGGCTCCTTTTTCCTAAAACATAATTTGAGGCATTAATGGTAATGAAAACTGTAACCAATCGCTTTACCAAGTTTTCAATTTACAAAGATTCTTAGAATTTCCAAATAATTTCTCACAGACACACATTAAATTAAATACTGAACAATGTAATATGTTTAAAAAATGTGGCCCTTGAATAAATAGTGATTAAGCTTTTTTTTTTTTAGACTGCTAGGTGGACTGAACACTTTGATGGTGGGGATGCAACATTGGATGAAATGATGTGGTGCAGGTGTTGCTGTTATTACATACACCCTCTGTACCTTACAAACTCTGGGTAATGAGACTGAGATTCAAGCCAGGCAAGACCAACAACAGTTATTTTAGAGTTCTACATTTAAGCTATCATGTTGTTGAAAGGGCAGACAGTGTGTTTTGGGAAATGACACACACAAAGTTCACTGTAGGCCAGTTCCCACCTGCAAACGTCATGACTGATGATTTTAAGAGGACATGGTCGAAAAAGGAGCCAAATACGAAAGAGTATTATACATAATAAAAAAAACGTGTAAAACAAGTAATAACAGTAACAATTAGGATTAATTTAGTATTATATTGATAACCACTGAATTGACTAGAGGTGGTTTAATGTGCACATGGTACTGGCGGTGCAACATAAATAATGTGACCACTCAGGTCGTCTTAAACAGACACATTTACTAACAATAAGACAGTAACTGTGTCCATAGCAAGACTGTTAATAGTCACCACAGCTAAATTTGATATCCACTGCTTTCCTTTGGCTCTAGTACTCGCAAAAACAACCTGCTAACCGGTTAGCATGCTAAAAGCTAAGCATGTGAGAGTTCAACGGGACTTCACACTACTTCAGCTAACACCTGGCTAGCTTGAATTAGCTTGCTAAAAATAGCATGTAAAATGAACCTTCAGCATAATACTTACCACCTCGAGGCATTGTGAAAAATGAAGTTTATAGGGATTAAGCCGGCTACTTTATCAATAAATACTGTGACAGCAAAATACAAACAGTTTAAAGTGCTGGAAGAAAAGGCTAAAAACTCCTTCGTCTCTCCCGCTGTCGGCAGCACAGTTACCAAAACGCTGCATTGAGTCATCACAAGCTACGCCTGCGCAGTAAGTATAGTTCAACCAATCAGTGCACTGACAGTTTGAATGACAGGTGAATCTACCAATTAGCTTAAGAGACCGTTCAACGCAATGGCAGAACTCTGAATTGAGATTGATAATGTCAGCAGCAGACATCGTTTACCTCGAGAACTTAGACGCAATACAGAAATAATTGAACTCTGAACTACATTGTATAAAGAAAAAGCATGATCACCACATCATAACTTTTATACTATCTATATTACCGTGTAATAGAAAAAAGGCAATGTGGATACTAAAACCACAAAACATTCTGTCTGTGTTTGGTATACAAACGATACTAAAGCATACAATATATGCAATATATCCAATTATATAATTGTCAATTATTTTGCTGCAAAAAGCGAGTAGATGCTACTTCAAATTACTTTTTTTCAGGCTTGTTTTACTGCCATGGTAAAATAAAAAATATGAAGAGAACTGATAATCTTACTGCTCACAAGCTTTTGTGCTTAATGTTATAAACACTGATTTGGATGTTGTTGTCTTCTAATGAGCGTGTTAGTAAAGTGTTAATCAAACAAGTGGTTAGATTTATATTCTAAAAGCTCTGAGTGAAAAGAAAAACAGCTCCAGAGTGGTGGATTTTATTTTTAATTGAATAAAAAATAACAGTGAATACAAGAAATGTCACCTTAAAATAAAAAACCTTATAAAATATACTGTGTACAGTTTTTCCGATTTGTTATTATAAAGTAAATGCAGAACAGAGCCTAAAAATATAGTCACTTAGTCGTATTCAGCGGTACCAACAATAAACACAAGCGAGACAGAGACCTGACAGAAATGATTAGCAAATTATAATATTTTTTACTTATTTTGTCAAACATAAAACAGAAGCAAAAAGCAAAGTAACATTTTCTCTTTAACAAACTACAAACATGAAAACATGTCCTATAAAAAAGGAATCAGATCAGTCATTTCTTCCGTCGATGTTGAGTCTTTACGTCTTCCACTTCTTTCTCCATCAGGTGGTATTCAACAGTTGTCTCTGTTAACTTCATTGGAAGATTAAATATTGGTTACTCATCAGCTTTGGTATAACACAAAAATGCATCTACTATTTAAATGGTAATTACGTTTAGAACTAAAATCCAATACACAATACTTTAAATGGGAGCAAAGCATTGTGAGATTGTGTTTTAAACAATTTTACAAACATGATTATGGAGCCAGAAAGTAAGAACTGATTTCCCTGTTTACTAATGCAAACAGAGGATTATAAAAAAAACATTGCATCTAGTGTTTCAGAAGAAGGTCAACGTTAGTATTTCTACCTCAGGGTATAAAGAGGCATAGTCTATATTACCTAGGAATGTAAGAGCATAAATAGCTGCTTGATTCTTACCATGTCCAAGAGAATTTCAATCTTTACTTTCAGGAGGTTGTTCTCTTCCTCCAGCTGAACATTTCTTTTCTTAAGACGCTGCAATTCTCTACCAGATGCATTTCCGCCAGATTCTGGTGAGACAAAAACCAAAAGACACCAGATTGAATGATGTGTTGGCTATTAAGAAAAAGCTAAAGCCCCAGCTCTTTCATGAATACCTACTAACTTAATGATGATGGTCTCCATATCATTGATGACGATGATTGTGACAACTGTTTTTGTTTGATAACGATGACTTATAAGATGGTTTCTATACTGATTAGAGCTCTCAAGAACTGCCGTCAATGTTGTGCTTTGCCTCTGGTCACTTCCTGTCAGCACCTGTGTGTCCAATCAGACTCAAAGCTGATCGTTTGCTCTGACTGACATTGTTCCCTTTTTTCTAGATCCTTGCTTGTGTTGTACTTACTCTCTGATGTACGTCGCTTTGGATAAAAGCGTCTGCTAAGTGAATTGTAGAATTGTATTAAAATACCAGAAGTGATTCATCATTTAACGTTTCACGTAGAAAAGCAAGATTCATGAAGAGTTTTGCACTTAAACTTTAAAAGCAGTCCCAGCATGTCATCATTACCTGTTATCCACTGTCCCTCGTCAAACTTCCAGCTTTGACCTCCAATGTTCATCACAGGAGGGCCATACTCAAGACCCAGCTCCACTTCCCTTGTTGAACGATCCAACTACAAGAGACCACACATCTCAGTTATCCCAAAACATGTCCACAAGTTATGATCCTCCTCAAGGTGCATCCTCTCAATAAGGTTGAATTTGATAAGTATTTGAAACATGATTGTTTTTAATAGTTTGCTTTACTTGACATTTGCTCACTACATCAAAGCATGTAGACTTTTAGCACAACTAAAGAACAGTGTTTTAATAAACTCACCGTGTGCAGGCTGGACAGAGAAGCAGATTTGCGAGGTGGAGTCTTCTTCGGACTGAATGTGTTTCCAAAGAGCGGCATCCTTAGAGATCTTTTAAGGTCCTGTTTAAATGGTGGTTAACACAAATCAGCATTACTATTTTATAAACATCAGTATCGAGCAGGCACCGTGTGTGTGTGTTTGTCGTTGCTAATGGTAGGCTACGTTATCAGCTAATGCTAAGTGGCTAACACTCACTAACTGTGAGTACTACTCATACCTTACATTTAAACGAAACTCTTGACTGCTTCACAGATGGGTTAGTAGTTGTTGTGTCACTGAAAATATGTGGCTCATATATTTACCTCCATACAGACTAATTATTTAAATTCTCACGGGGTAGATGATTTTTTTTGTCTCCAAGCTAAGCCATTTTCTATTCTTCTGCGCAAGTGCGAAGGTACCATGTTTTTTAAAGTAGACACTACTCTTGAATAAATCAGGTTTATAGGTTTATAGCGTCACTCTTTTTGTCATTATTTGTCTATTACATACGTTTAAGATATTCGAATATTGATTGGTGCTCAAGTATTCTTCTCGGGAGTTTTATGCAAATTCTAATAGTCAATGTTGCATTACGAAAACATAAATACCCCTTTTCTACAGAGATAATGGATCCGTCCGTTAAACGCAGACGCATCACCATGGCGATAGCGTCACTCGGCCTTTTGAAGCTTTTCTATTGTTGCACTTTGTTTGTTGTTTGAAATAATGAAAAACACAGTGAAAACTTAGCACAAAGTAGCAAACACAACAATTAAAACAAAACTGAATTAACCCAGGCAGTCTAAATAAATCTATAAAAATCATTTAGCTATGCCCGTTCCACAGACAGCCCCAGTGGCCTAATGGATAAGGCACTGGCCTCCTAAGCCAGGGATTGTGGGTTCGAGTCCCATCTGGGGTGGTTGCTTTTTCCCCGTCTACGAAAAGTTGTCGAATCTAAAGCTATTTACCGGTGGTTGCACAATTTAAGCAATTAAAGTAATTGCAAAAGCTTCCGGTCAATATGCACTTGATAATCTCCACTCGTTATCACCGTCGTTGTTTGTAGTAGACTAAATGGTTCAGCAACATTTACTCAAGTACTTGAAAGGCAGAGAAGCGCAGGAAAACATCGGCCGTCATGGATAAGCAGAGTATCAAACTGTGCTTATTGCTGACCTACTTGGCTGCATCGGTGCGAACTTACCGTGAGTACCATTCTTGTCTCTCTGTTCATGACGGAAAGAAAATTTAAATCCATTCAATTTTGGAAGAAAAAAAAACTCCTGATGAAAATGGAAGATTGATTGTTTAAAATCTACGGAAACGGAGAATTTGATAAACAGATGGCCTACAGCTCACGGTGGCGACTATAGTAGTAGTACTGATAGTAGTGATAGGATTTAAAGAATAATCGTTTTTTTGTCTTCTATTCCAACAATTTAATTTTAAATGTGGTACCATATTATTATCCTGGATATTCCAAAACAGTAGCCTATACGGATCTGAACGGGTTTGCGGTTTATATTTAGCCTTATCCATTATTTGGTGGATAAACACTTATTCGTAACGCTGTAGCCAATGTTTAAACGTAACCATAAATTTAATCTAGTTTCAAACTGGAGAGTTATTGATTGAAAACTGTAAAGTTATTCTGGCCTACTTGTAAGTAGCTACAGCTTACTCAATATGAAACGAATGTGAGTAGCCTATGTAAAAAAAATATTTTTGACAGAAACTAATTAAGCAATAGCCTAAATACAAATATGTAAAAATAAAATAAAGATAAAACATAAAGATGAACTTTATTGATCCCCATTTGGGGATATTTTTTTTCGTTACAGCAGCTAAAGAAGTCTGTTTAGGGTTAGGCTCTCTGTTTTAAGTGTGTTTGTGTTTTCCTTATATTTCATTGTATTGGTGACCTTATTCTACATAATGCATGTTATTCAACCTCAACCCTGTGACCCTGTCCATCCTCCTACAATGGTAGAGCTCCAAGAGGCCACTGTGTATTGGGATGCTGCCCAGAAAAGTGTGATCCTGAAGGAGGGGGTGATGGAGACAGAGGGGGGAGCTTACGGGTACTTCAATGACACTCTGCTTCTCACTGGATGGGGCGTCTTGGAGATCAGTGCAGGTTATGGAGGAAACCCGCAGCACGACGAGACCACCTTCTTCCTGGCTGGGTACCTGGAGGGTTATCTTACTGCTGGGTGAGTGTCACATGTGTCGTTGTGAAATAAACAATCAATAAACTATTTTGAACTAAATCTCTTTGAGGCAACAGAGTCAGTGAGTAGTTCACAGTCTTCAAAAACACACCTGAATGCCTTACCGACTCATGTCTGAGGTCTATTGAGTCAGAATCAGAAGACGTCACAAAAATCATTCTGCTTCAGAACGAGTATAATCTATAACAGATCCCAGAGGACCAAGTCACCTTCAAAGAATAAAAGTCTGTGTTAAGTTGTGTTATATGGGAGTTAATTAGTTTCTATAGCTTAAAAAGTTTGAGAAATATTTTAATCTTTATAAAGGAGTTCTTCGTGCTTTTTTTCATCAGAAAAGTTCTCATTTGAACCCATCAAATTTGTAGATATGCAGCTTCATTACACTGAAAAATGTAAATCAGAAATTTCAATAAAAGCTGTCAGACAAACGATGAATAGTTAAATTATTCTTTACAATTAAAGTTTAACTTGGTTACATAAAAGGGAAATAAACAAATATAAGTGATGATGTTAAGCATATGGTTGTGTTTCTGATTAAAGACTTATGTTTCTCAAGAGGCTGTCTTGTAGTTTTTGTGTTTTATCCATGATTGTTGTTTTTATTTCGCTTTATCTCCTTTAATCCACCATTGTTTTAGTTATTCATCTTTGTGTTGTCTATTTTATTGTTGGGATTAGTATTTTTTGTAAAGCATTTTGTAATTCTGTTTTTTATCAGTGCTTTATAAATAAACTTTATTATTATTATTATTATAATTTAAGTGTTGACAGTATAATAGCCGAGCCTTAATTTAGATTGTTGAGTATTAAATAATCAGAATCAGCTTCATTGGCCAGGTATGCTTACACACACAGATCATTTGACCTTGGTGAACTTTGCTCTTTATGTACAAAAGTATAACTAAATAAAAGAAAGTTAAATGAAATAACATTAAATATCAACAATAAACACAAAATCCTCAAAGATACATACAAAATTTATTCCCACCTTTCTTATGCTTTCTCTTCAGACAGATGTTTCCTCACTACTACAACATGTACCCTCAACTCATAAAGGACGAGAAGGTCTTGAGCCCCCTGAGGAGGTTTTTAAGGTATTGTTTCTGTTGTTCCCGCTGCAGGATAAAACCTCCATTTAAGGACAGAAAAGTCTCAAACTACAGCCACATTTCAAAAGTAGGGTGCAGGCATCAAAAGCAGAGTCTATTTACAAAAATACAAGTAATACATACATTTGTTGTACTTTGTTTTCAATTGAATGCATGTTTAAAAAAAGAGCAGTTAGTCACATTTTGTTTAACACAAAGAAGCAACTTTCTTCACATTTTGGTAAACCTATTTACTGTTTACACTCCAGAGTTCTTCAATTCCTCTAACAAATCACAATAAATCACAAATTATAAAACTGGCAAGAAAGGAAAGAAATTAATTAAAGTTGCCATAGTTTGTCTTTGATTTTCTTTCACATAACTAATCAGGCAATTTTGTTTAAAATACTCAATACTGGGGTGCTCGTGGCGCTGCATGTCATTCCCCACTCTCTCTCCCTGATTTCTGATTCTATCCACTGTCCTATCTATCCATTAAAGGCAGAAAAAGCCAAAAAATAAATCTTAAAATACTCAATATTTGTATTAATATTCATACTTTTAAGGTAGAAATGTACAAGAAATAATTTAATGACCTATTGCTTGCTTCTTCTGTTTAGTTTATTATTTGTTCAACAGAGGTCTGTACCTTTTTTATAAATGAAATTCATGTAGCAGTGATTACTGTAATTCTGAGTTGAGTTGCGCTGGCGGCTGATTTTAAGAAGCAACCAGTTGCACTTGTTCATAAACTGTAACAGAAACCAGAAGGCTCTCTGATGCTCCACAGTAAACAAGACCAGTGGGCCAGAGAACAGGTGAAACTGAAGAGATCCAGCGACCCCTTGTGGAAACATTTGGGACTGATCCTGGCCCAGCTGGATGGGCTCCATGCTGGAGCTGCACAGTGGGCCAAAAACAAACACATGGAGGTGTGTACATATTGCACTTTTTATTGTTTGTTTATTTTTTTTTGTAAGTGAGAAAGTTGCCACAGTATCATATCATTTCATCTCCACCACTTGTTCTCTCTCTTTTTCCTCCAAAGCCTCTATCAGCGTTTGCTCTCCAGTTTCTGAATGGCGTGGGAGACCTCCTGGACCTCGTCCCAGCTCTGACACCTCGCTCCAACTCCTCCACAGGAGGTGGTGCTTTCGGGATGCCAGGAATGGGCCACTGCACCGCTCTCATCAAGGTTAGGCCAAGCTCATTTGGCTCCAGCAGTGAAGGAGAACTTGGGAGGTCTGAAAGCAGGCCTAATTCGTTTTATTGTGGGTCCTTGTGCATGGGGTTCCCTCTTCTTCAGTGTGTCAATAAGGAGGATAAAAGGCTATTACGAGGAGAACCGTTTCCTGTCCACAAACACCCATTCAGGAAACAAAGACAAAGTGTAAATAGAGTGAGCCCACTAACTAAAAATGTCACATTAACCATTATTTGATAACAGTTTCATCTGCTGCTGTTAGGGCTGATTCATCACAAATTAAAAGATTTGAAGAATATCAAATTGTGAAATTGTTGGTTTATCTGGTTATGCTAACAGCAATTGTTCATTCAACTAAATACAGCAACTTAATTTAAATCCAGTCTTTCTTTATAATGATATATCACTGTGTTAGCTCAATGCTAATGTTGGCACGGCAACAAGTTTAACACTGGTGATTAATGTTTACCACCTGCTTTAGTAAAATGAAGAATGACAAATAAAGTTTTGGTTTCTGTACCTACCAAAACTGAAACCCACAACCTATGTGGTTCAACAGATCTTAATGCTAATGCTATAGCATGGCAACACAAAACTTCTAAAGCTGATATTTAAGATTTAGGCTACCATCTTTACAAAGCTTAGTTTAGTTTTGTGACAAGTGACAACCAAATGAAGTGGTTAACATGAATATAACCACGCTTTAACCCTGTTAACAGCTTTGAGTGAAATGCCAAGCTAGCATGTCAACTCACTCACAGTAACAATGCTAATGCTGATGTTTAACATTTCCAATGTTCACCACCTAACTTAAGTCCATATTATGATGACAAACATAGCTAGGTTTTGGTTCATTACAAATATGAATGAAAATCTACAGCCATGTTAGCAACTATAAGGCTCAAATGGGGCTTTGCTTTGAATGCTAATGCTAGCATGAAGGCTATCTATCTAAATGTGTAAAAAACATATTTGTTTTTGACCTTAGCATGGCATTTGCTCATTAGCACTTAATAGAGTTGGCTACAATGTGTAGGCCTCGGGCAATGTCATTAGCCTTCAAAATATTTAATGGTATATCAAAGTATTAGCCTATGCCTATCCATGTTGTTAAAACAGTTCAGTAGTGATTTTAATTTTTTTGATAACATAGGCTACATGTTATGACTATTAAATGTCATTATAACATTTAGACATCCATAATCTCAGCACCATTCTCTCTCTCTTTATGGTCTCAGGTGCTTCCAGGCTTTGAAAACCTGCTGTTTGGCCACTCAAGCTGGTACACATATGCAGCCACTATGCGCATCTATAAACACTGGAACTTCAAGGTGTCTGACACACAAGCTGCCACTGGAAAGTTGTCGTTCAGCAGCTACCCTGGTAACATGTACACTCACACAAAGATAATGGAGCTGAAATTTGAATAGGAGTGTGTAAACATACAGCACGGCACAGCAAAGCAAAGCATCCTATTAAAGGTCTGAGCTGAGGTGAACAGCTTGTCGTTAATCCACATGATTTCATTTTCATCTTGGAGAATTGAAACAGTGACATAGCTAGGACTTAATCCAAATCCTCAAAGAACATTCTCCCTTGAAAGTAATTCTTCAACTAAGCGCACAGCTCATTCACAGCAGCCAGAAAAACATCCACTGCAGTGTGTAAACACCTCAAACGGAGGTGTATTAAGTGTATTCCTCTCGGTGAACTCAGAGGACACTCTATAAATTTGTGAGCCAAGATTTGCAGTGTGGTCTAGACCATAAAAATCCTCTTAAAGGTTCCATTGCTATCAGAACACAAGTGGTTTTAGAAAAGGGCTATTTTTAGAGGCCAAGGACATCACTTCACCTTATTAAAAAAAAGAGATGAAGAACAGCCCTGCCACTGTAGCTCCTAAGCTGCTTTCTCCCTCTCCCTGACACACACACACACACACACACACACACACACACACACACACACACACACACACACACACACACACACACACACGTTCATCAGCATCTGGGCCAAGATAAGAAGAAATATAAATACTTAACGTTAAAGTCAATGTAGGGCTGGTGAGAACATTCCTCTGCATATGGTTATTATATTATTAATCACAGCAGCAGCAGTATTCCTTATTCATTTAATTCATTATAGTAGCATCAGCAGAATTGATACTTTTATGAGTAGTAGTATTATGCTAGAATTTTTATTAAAATAAGCAGAAGTTCTTTTCTACCTATGGTTAAACCACTAGCGTAAGCAGTGATAGTAGCGTGACAACACTAGAATTATTTCTCTTAACAACTGAAAGCTATATTTTCATAATTTAGGAAATTTGCCAATTTTTTTTTGTCAAACTGAGATGTAAAATCACTTTTATTTGGCCTGTAAACAAACTGCTAAAGCCGCTCTGTCTGCGAATAGAGTTAAGCCTGCTTTTAGCTTCCTTTCTTCATGCTAAGCTAAGCAGGAGGTCTTGAAATACATTACTAAACCCACTTATTCAACTTTCAGCAAAAAGTAATGAATCAAAAAATCTGTCTTTTGAGGAGTTCTACAATACTTTATAATATTGTTTTGACACTTGTGGGCAGACACAAGCTGTGAGAACAACACTGACAAATGAAGTCTTATGGTAAACATCCTAGCGTACAGTTTATTTACACATCCAGCAGACAGCAACATTATTGTTAATAAAGAGGGTTGACCGTTCATTTGGTGGATGTTCACTACATATTAGTCCCATTATGTTTCCCAGCTAGCTGACTTACTAATCGTTCTCTAAATGTCTGTCTGCTCTATGATGCTGAGCAGGTAGTGTGTGGGTACATCAGAGCGTATATTTGCTGAAATCAAAAGCTTGCTTCAGCTGAAAATGACTTCATGAGAACTGTGGGAGTGAAATGAAGATGATTTATTTTGATTAAAAATCTACATCCGTCAAGAAACCAGTAATCACAGCTGTCAAAACACTTTCCACTGCTGATAAAAAGTCATATATACTGAGTGCAATAATATCATCACAACTTTGTTGACTTTCCAACATCCACTCTTTGACATTTACCACGAAACATTCTCCTTTAACCCCCTCTCCCCTGCTTCCTCCTCCAGGATTCCTGATGTCTCTGGATGACTTCTACCTTCTTGGGAGTGGCCTGCTGATGACGCAGACCTCCATTGGTGTCTTCAACATCTCTCTGTTCTCACAGCTCAGCCCTCACAGCCTGCTGGCCTGGCAGAGAGTCCGCCTGGCCAACAACCTGGCACACAGCGGAGAGGAATGGGCCAAGATCTTCTCCAAATACAACTCAGGTGAACCCTCGTTTATCATCCTTTGCATAACTGTAATGTTGACACACTCATAAAATATCAAAACCAAAGAAATGCTGGACAGAGTCTGGACGGATCGTGAACACGTAGTAGCCAGCTAAACATTTAAAAACATGCAAATTATATAGAAGATGTTAGACCATTCATTCATGTAATGTTTTAAATACAAGGAAATTCTTTGTTACCATTTTCCTGTTTGTCGTCTTTGTTTGAGATTTGCATCTTCATGCAAAATGGCAGTTGAACAAAACAAACAAACAAATCCCAAAGAGAAACATTCAAAAACATATAAAATCCAGTTGTGGAGACACTCAGCTATCACCTGTTTTTATAAAACAGGGACTAGTTCATAGGACTTTATCTTCACTCCTTTAATAAATACGTTATTTCTACCATGAGCAGCTTTGTAAAGCTTTACCATCTGTGTTTTGAGCTAAAAATGAATGTTACCATTCTTAATCTTGCCATTCTTACACGTTCAAAATGACATTTTTAACATGAGGATATTACACATTTACAGTGTTAAACATCTAAGTTCAGTTATGCTAAGATTTGCTTGTTAGCAGTTAACACAAAGTCAACCTGGGGAGAAAGGGAAGGTCAGGTATTAAAACTTTTGCATTAAAAAGGACACACAGGACATTTTGTGGAGATCTTAGACGTAAATGTTTATCAGATCAGATGGTACAAACATCACTATTTAACTTTTACTGTTGTAATTCAACTTTAGTGAAGAAACGTGTGTTAGAATGAAAAGACGGGACAGGACAGAGGTATAAAAAGAGAAAAGAGGAACGTAAGACTTGCAGAAAGGCAAGAATAATAACTTTGGTCTGAAACAAAAATTCTTACTTTGTAAAACTTCACAGGACATGTTTCCATAAATAGATTCATCAGACTCTTAACCAGACTATCCTCTTTATAACACATCAGTTTGATCTGTCACGTCATGTTGCTAGGGGAGGGCAGGGGAGAATGGGACAGAGTGTTCTCCAGACTGACAGCCCTCTCATTACCCAGCAGCCTCGGCTCTCATACTCCTCATCCTGCAAAACTGTTTTGGTGGCCTGCAGGCTCTTTACCCAGGAGCCTTTGCTTTACATTGGTCTTTGTTTTCATTTCATTCAAATAGAGTTAGGTGAGGGATTTATTGTCTGTGCAAGCCAATAACTCCAGAGCCGGAAGTTAACCTCGTTTCTTCCACTGGTTTCAAATCCTCCAGGCCGATGGAAGACGTGACAATGTTTCCCTGTGCCAGTCGGGTTTAATGTGTCTGTATTTTAGGTACCTATAATAGCCAGTACATGGTGGTGGACCTGAGCAGGGTTTCTCTGGGTCACAGTATCAAGAGTGGAGCTCTGACTGTGGTTGAGCAGATTCCCGGGAAGGTGGCGCACTCTGATCAGACTCAAGCTTTACGGAGAGGTACGGGGGGCAACATCCATCTGTTTTTATGAATATTTCTATATTTTTTTGGTTTTTATCTAGAATGGTTGATTTTGTTGTCAATATGTCACGACACACTCCTTCTTCACTGTGTTACATTTGGCAGGTTACTGGCCGTCGTACAACATACCATTTCATGCTGATATCTACGATCTGAGTGGGTACGGTGTGATGTGGAATAGATATGGAGAAGACTTCTCCTATGACCTCTGCCCCAGAGCCAAAATACTCCGCAGAGACCAGGCCAAAGTATCTGACCTCAACTCTCTTAAACACATCATGAGATACAACAGTAAGTGTAACATCAGATTAGCCATGCATTATATTTGTATATTTTCCTGACTTCTAAGGGCCTCAGAGATTATCCAAAAAAAAACCACACACAATGGGATAAACAAAATAATGGAGGATGCTGAAACCTAAAGTCAGACTGGTTCTGTTCCAGACTACAAGAGAGACCCCTACTCCAAGGGCCATCCATGTAAAACCCTGTGTTGCCGTAACGACCTGAGACCAAGGAGACCACGTCCAGGAGGTTGCTATGACACTAAGGTAAGCAGATTTTTTATTTTTTATTTTTTTTACCAGAATCCCACTGTGATGTCACAAACTGAGAAAATTTGAAGCGGAGCATTTTTCTCTGTGTTGTAAGATTTATACAGACCACAAACAAAGGACTGGGTGGTTTTATTTCACATTTTGTGGGTGTGTAGACACTCAGGTTTGTATGTTCAAAAACACTGTAAAAGTGGATTTTTCATAATATGTCCCCTTTAATGCATTTGCATGTGTGTCCTTATCGGTTTTGTTAAGTTATTTGGTCATTCATTATGTTTTGTGTTTAGCAAAACTACAAGTCTACAACCAGCAAGAAGCTTTTCAAGGCTGCACAGTGGTACTTAGAACTACATGCTAACATTATATTGCTACAGATGACAATGCCCCATTGCTGATATGTAGCAGTTTTAAATGTCTCATATTAAACTCCTTTCCAACCAGTTTAAAAAAGTCTCAGAGCTCCCCAAAACATTCCTGTGAAGTTTCTTGTTAAAAAAACAACCTGACCTTGTATTTATCGTACCTATAAACCCCTCTATTTCAGCCCTGCTCAGATCAGACTCTTTCTGTGTCTGTAGCTTTAATGCAACTGAGCTGTTACTGACCAAACCCCTCTCTGGAAGGGCGTGGATGGCATGGGCTTTCTTGCACCATGGCCAATGGTTTACAGTGTGAAGACAGACACAAGAGGGCAGAACAAACACCTAGCTTGCACCTAGGGAGTGTCACCCACCCGGGGGAGGGGTTACTTCCCTTTGTGATGTCACAAAGGTAATATATCATGGGATTATGTTAGTGGTTATCATCCAAGATTACCATCTGTAAAGGATAAGCACGTATACTTGGGTTTTTTGGAGCAGAAGTTAGGCATATACAAATTTCTTGTTTCTGACTTTAAAAGGTCCAATTTAATTTGAAACATTGTATCAAAGTACATTTTTGGAATATATTTGTTCTGTTAAAAGCAACAGAAAGGTCTATATTGATGTGTAGAACGTTTATCCAAAGGCAAGATTAAATTAGTTTATTTTCTTCCTAGAAATGACCATTTCTGTCTGCAGGTGACCAACTACCAGATGGCGATCAAGCTGGTCGCGGAGGCAATTAACGGCCCAACGACGCATGGGGGCCTGCGTCCCTTCTCATGGCAGTCCTTCAATCTCTCAAATCATCAGGGTCTCCCACACACCTACAACTTCTCCTTCGTCACGATGAGGTCCACACTGCGTCAGCCTTGAGAACAAGAGACAGAAAATACCTCCAACCCGTGTAGAAAGGGTCTTCCTGTTGAGATCAGCAGTCCTAATTTTTCTTGTTAATAATGCACTTTTGGTTACAGAGGACAACGTTGAAGCTTGGGAAGATGTGACAAATTTGGTCAACAAATACAATTTCAATTGTAAACTTTACAGGCACCATCTTACACAACTAATTTAAAGTAATTAAATGATTAAATACAGACCATGGCACAATGTGATTGAGGAAATTGTCAATGCATTTACATGCACTCCATTTAATTATCCCAGTGTAATTTCCTTGTAGTTAAATAATGCCAATCTGATAGAGCGTCACTTTTTGTTGTTGTTTATAAAATAGGCTATTTATTAATACATTAGTATTCTATTCTTAAATCCATTTTCAGATCTTTTGTTTTCGATAACAGCCATTATTACTGGCTCTTGCTGGTATCAATACTGTTCTCCTTTCTGGTTTTCATACAACAGTAGTATTGTAAAAGTAGTACCTTAATGAGCTTGAGGATTATTGACTGAAAATGTTTGTTCCAGATATTTTAAATGTTACCTGTCAGGAAATTTCTATTAAGTTTTGATGCAATGTTTACTCGGGTAACAAATTGATGTTAATGCTTATTTGATGTGATGTATATATCAACGATTATAAAATATTAATTGACCTACATTGTGGAGCATTTCGGTCTTGCTTTACCATAATTTATAAAAAATAAAAAATAAACTACAAGCCCCAGTCTTTTTTCTGTTTTTAATATTTACAGTCTATGGTTTTTTTTATCTGTGAACTAAACTACATCTACCATGCTTTCAAAATAAGACCTTATGGGTAACCTTTGAAAATGATTGCTCAAAAAGCTAATACAAATCAATGGATAAAATAATTAGATAAATTACTCCTTATGCAATAAGCTACTTAAAGCCTACCTGGGCTAGGCCTGTATGGCTATAGTCTATATTTAACAAAAGAAAAGTATTCTCAGTCTTTCCTTTTGAATCTCAGCGTATTAACTTTGATACTTTGTAGGAGTAAACAGACCTCTAGTAGACTATTTGATGAAATGACTATTTAGTAGGCTTACGAGGCAGATCATGTACTATTTAAACTGATTTAAATTACATTTTTTTTAAGTTCAATAATATGGAGTAGGAAATGTCCAACCACAAAACATTTAGTTTTACAGTATCCGCTTTATTTCATTTTGGGAGTCGGCAGGGACTGATCAGATAAAGAGTTTATTTTGAAAGTCTTTGCCGGATGTACATTTCTAATTTCCTGTAACCTGGGTACTCTTTGAGTTGTACGGGTTTAGGGCGGAGCGTGGTCGGTAGGTTACGGAGACAGTCGAGGTAACAGCGGACACTTCGTGTAGTAACGTCTGTTTCCAAATGGCAACGAAGGCGGACGAGCAGCGGGAACCGGCGGACGTCGCTGCGCTGTCGCCGCTCCACGGCACCAGAATCCACCACAATAGTAATAACAACAACAATAATAACAACAACAACAAAGACAGCGAGGCGAGCGAGACCGCGACGTCCGCCACCGCCGCCAGCACGACGGAGTCCGGCGGGACGGCGTCGCAGAGCATCGGGAACGGCTCGGTCATCAACCCCACCGGGGGGAACAACGGGAAGTGGGTCCGGCTGAACGTCGGCGGCACGGTGTTCCTCACGACGCGGCACACTCTGCTCAAAGAGCAAACTTCATTCCTGTACCGGCTGTGTCAGCAGCAGGACCTGCACTCAGACACGGTGAGTCCGGTGAAGCATTCCCAGTGTACGGTAACCTACTTCTTAAAAGAGTTGTTTCTTTGTAATAACAGGTACAAGTATGTTTTATTGATGGCACCAAGCAATGAGTGAGCCTGAATAATGAATGGAGGCTACCTTCACATGCATTACCCAATATACATTATTTATGTGTGTCATGCTTTAATGTGCCTACATTTGTAGTTTATCTATTAGCCTACATTTAATGTTAGTCTCAAACACAACAGGCTATGTTAAAGTAGCAGGCTGGCTAAGGCTATGTGAAGAAATAACATCACCCTCTGTCAGCTTTATATGGTGGCAAAGCTTGTAAAAGACCCAAAATGCACTTTAACTTATGTCAATACTGTCCACTTACCACTCTGTTTTTGCACATTAACATTTAATCTTTAATATTTAATTTAAAACCATTTGTATTTAATATTACATTGTGTTTAGATTTGCTAATATTGTGTTTTTTGCTCATTTTGTGTGTTTGGATAACCTGCTGCTGGAACGCCACAATTTCCCAGTTTGGGATCAATAAAATGATCTAACGAACGTTTTATAACATTCCTGTCGTGGCTCATATTTGCTCTTAATGGTGAGTTCACATTAGACGTTCAACCATGATAATATTGTTGTACTTTGTCAGGTGTTGACAGGTGGTTAAAGATTGGCTCAGTATCATTTTTTTTAATGCCACTGTGGTAAAGGTATTTTTTTGTATAACTAAAAGGATTGGCTAAAGTATGTGAGCAGGTCTTGGCAAGTTGGCATGAAGTGATTCAGTGCTTTGCCTAATAGAGACTGAATGGAAAAATTATATTACTGAATAGTGCAGCGTGACGTTTTTATCTTGTAAGGCATCACAGTGGCCTTAAAGGAAAGGGCTAACTATATTATACTGTAACTGAATTATATATGTACTCTTCCCAGAACCTATTACTTTAACTCTATTGTGGTCCAGAAATAAAGGCCTGCTGCTCTGAAGTAGGCGGAGAGCTGTCTAATTACCAGCTGATGAACTGTACATGTGCAGTATGGAGCTCTCCCACTCTCTCTTACTTCTTCTGTAAGTGTGTGTGTGTGTGTGTGTGTGTGTGTGTGTGTGTGTGTGTGTGTGTGTGTGTGTGTGTGTGTGTGTGTGTGTGTGTGTGTGTGTGTGTGTGTGTGTGTGTGTGTGTGTGTGTGTGTGTGTGTGTCTCAGCATCACTTTGTGGTGTGAACATAGCTTGGGTCAGATGGATGAACACGTGCCTCCTCTTCTGCAGGGAGCTGCACAGTCAGAAGCAGTGCAGCTGACATCTTATTGGGGGAACAGAAAGAGAGAGATGTATTGTGGATCCCGCAGTCACATGCAGACTGAACACATTGAAAAGGTCTGGCAAGTCTCATGAATGATGCAGGTTTCTATTATGCTGCAGCCTTTGATATGCATGTATGTGATCAAAGAGAAGAAGGGGGCAGGTCTGGTGACGAGGTCTGTAAATGGTCATTTTTAGCTTTAGATGTAGACCTTTATTTCTCTTAATATCCACTCTGTAAGCAACTGTCAAAGAAAAAAGCAGTAGGAAGGATAATATTCATCCAATAATAAATCATAAGGTATGTCATTTAAATAGTACATCATGAAGCTTTATGTATTGTTTTGACCATGATTGTACCATATGCCGCCTTCTACATTTTTCTACCATAGTAAGCTTAATATTTTGAAGTGTTCTTGAATATTCGAGAAAACACACCTATAGGCTCTGCAGGCTTGTAATAGAATAGTTAGAAAAGGTTTGGATGCATAATGTATTTATTCCTTGCTGTCGGTGATAATTCAGGTAATTATTGTTTCAGCACTTTTCCACATTTAAAAAAAAAAATATCAAGTAAGAGGATGTTAAAGGAAGAATGTGTAACATTTTTACACATAAATACAGCAGAAATCCAGAATCGTCTGTAAATATCTCTCTGGGTCATGACTGTCCACAATGAGTGTGACGCGGGAGCCCCGCTGTCTGTGATGTTGTCTGAGCCGTGTTTATGTCGTGTTTACATGGACTGGACGGCCGGCCGGCTCATCCCCTTGCTGATAAAATCTGTTTAAGTGAGAGACTAGAGAAAAGAAGAATAACAACATACTGTACTCACTGATTATTTGAAGCTCACTAAAGCGTTTTTAGATCACGGTCATTCTGTGCAATATCAGGCTACGAGCAAACTAAAGAGCGATAACAATTAGCCTGCTAACAGAACAATGCTGCTCGATATTCCTTCTATACCTAAAATGTTTTACAAAATGAAGCCAAAATATTTGAAAATAGACTAATTTATTAAATAAAACCTGGGTTTTCCGAGTCTTCTAACTACTCAAAGCACATTTACACTACACTAATGGTAGAGGCTGCTAAGTGTACAACAGTCTAACAATACTACTTCATTCACACAAATGAATGATTTTGGGGTCAGTGTCCTGCCCAAGGGCACTTTGACATGTGACTGCAGAGCTGGAGACTGAACCCCCGACCTTCTGGTTTAGAGGCAAAGACTCTATCTCTGACCCACAGCTGTCCCACTTCACAGTCTTCATCAGCATATGTCAAATCCTGATCTCACACTTAGCTTCATCATGACTTGCTGTAAATGTTATCCCTTAGAGGGTTCCAAAAAGTCAAGTACTTTTGGCATTTGCAGAAGAAACCCATCTGCTGGGGAACAGGTATTCCAGAGTTAGTGCCAAAAACAACCTCCAAATTTGGAGTTTGGAGGTTTTTACAGGATAACAGAAACTGCTGTTGCCCTGCTGCAGCGCTGGGCATTTTGGGAGGGCAGAATATTCTCATGTGACCTTCAGTGTGACCCAACAGGAGCTTCGTCTGCACTACTTTAAGACACAAAGCCACATATTTACTCTCTCACTATACAGCTGGCACAAACACACACCTACAGCTCTTTTGTTCACTCATCTTGGCTCTTTTTTTCTTTATCGACCATTCTCTTCTCATCCCCACTGTCAGCAGCTGACTCACTGAACTCATCGCATGTTTGCCCTCCCTCGGCTGTCTTTTCTGCTCTTTATCACAAATTCTTAACTCATTTAATTTTAGAGACTAGATTATTTTGTTTTCAGTTAATAAGTCTCCATGGCACTGATGCTATGCTAAAAACAGGACTCTGGGAGTCTGACCTATGAGAGTTATAACCTTTAAAGATTGTGGTTGAGGAGTGCTGAAGCTTCTTTTTTTTAAAGTTATGCAAGCGCTCCCGAGCCCACAGCCAGTGCTTTTCTGTTCGAAAAACATACGGGGCCAAACACACCTACTGTAGCCAATATTCATGCATTTATAGACATTATACTAAAGAAGTCTTGTTTTATTTGTTTTATCTTTGATTTGTATTGTATTTTATTTGATGTGGAAGTTTTCTCTTCCGATAATCTCTCTTATTTGTTTATAGCTAAGGTCCTCAGGTGTGTGCAGGACTGCAAAGTGATAAATGGTTATTTGGTAAGATCACCTCTATGCAGCCCCGAGTCACAAGAATAGTCACGGTAATAAATGTGAAATCAGGAGGAAAATATATACTATGTATATATATTTTGTTTAGGGCTTTAGCTTCAGAAGCCTCGTGATGAAAACAAAGCATGCTTCTTTAGATCACTCAGACCCACTGATCCTAACAGCTGTGAATGCACAGAAGCGTAAATGATTCAACAGATGGATGTACAGTCAACTGTGGGGGAGAAAAAAAAATCTATCTAATTCAGCGGCTGTGGCTCCATTGGTAGAGTCGCCGCCTCTCAACCGGAAGGTTGAGGGTTCGATCCCCAGCTGGGCATCCCCAGCTTGGGCAAGACGCCTAACCCCGAATTGCTCCTGCTGCTTCAGTTTATGAATGGCATTAGTTACTTCTGATGGATGATACTACATAGCAACCACTACCATGAGTGTGTGAATGGATGGGTGTGACATGTGGTGTAAAAGCGCTTTGAGTAGACTAGAAAAGCACTATATGAGCTCAAGTCCATTTACCATTCGTGAAACAACCATTTTCTAAAATGCATCACAGTTGCAGGTTTATCTATGTGAAGAGGAAACATTAATTGCTAATAGAGCTTTTTCTCTTCAGTCTAGTAGAGTAGCAGAGCCTTGTGAACACGCTAACGTTAACATTTCAGGCCTTCAGTATTGCAGTACGAGCTGCCTGCTACATTTGAGCCATAATATCAGTTAACTACAAAGATCAAACCAATAAATAAATCTACCTACACAACATGACTGTGCATTAATGTAGGTTCACTCACTCAACAAACTATATCATAAAGGTTTCTCCATCTTTTTTTCAGCTCGGATGGACCATCTCGGTCTTGCCTGTTATAAACACCCTCCCTACTAAAACCATCTAAAGCGAATACACTAACTACCAATCCAATACAATCCAAAAAGCGCTGTACAGGTCCAATCCAATCTTGAATGGAGGTCGGGAATAGAATGAAGTGCATGTTGCAGGGAGTGTCCCAATGAGCCAGATGAAACCAGCTTGTGATGTTGAGTACACGAAGCAATCTGAACTTCAATCACACAGGAGATGATCAGCTTCTGTGTTTTCTTCTCTCACTGGGTGTGTGTGTGTGGTGGGGGAGCTGATTTTATCTGGACCATAGTCCCCCTATAATCCGCTGATGTTGGCGTGTTTCTGCTCGGGTGTTCTTAGCCGTTTCAAACCCACAGACACTGTCTGGCTATGTGTGAATGTTTTAATGAGATTACCAGTGCCTCTGCCGCCCTTCCCCTGAACAGAATAATACCCAGTGCTAACTACTGACGCTAATACGGCTCATGATGACCTCTTATGGTCTCAAGCCAATAACATCATGTAGCTAAAGTTCAGCTTTGATCCTGCTGTGATGTTAGCTAAGTAGGTGTAACAGTGCTGGTATTGCAAATATAACCCCATAACCAGATAATCACAGATTTGGGATTAGTAAAAATGGATTCATATTTGATTACTATACAGTTGAGTTATGTTGGCTTGATGTTTTTTTTTATGTGTGGTTTATAATTCTTTGGCTTTCTTCGTCCCATCTTGCAGCGTCGGCATGGATTCCAACACAAGCCTGAACTCGCTTTAATCATTTTATCTGCGCCGTGAGATCTCTATTATGACACACAGGCAGGGCCCAGAAATTAAAAAATATATATTTTAATTGAATACATAGCACAGAGTTGTGAATATAGTGTAAGACACACATATGATTTTTGTATTTTTGCTCCCCAATAACACTTGTTCGATTTAAAATCAAGATGGCTAAAAATTAATTAGACGTGCTATAGAAACAAAAATAATTGAAAGAGTTTCCTATTACCCCCACTGTTTTAATTATGTCAACTGCTTTGCTCATTTCATTTATTGGAACTGAAATCTATTTAATTAAACAATACAGATGGTAGAGATGAAGGTTAGAAACACCTTCTTTACGTGAAGAGAAAAATGCACTTGCATTTTGGAAAGGGTTGCAGGAAGTGCTCCAGTATACTTCACAAAGATTTGTATATCTGGATAGAAATCATAGAATTACACTTCTAAGAACATTTGCTAAGGTGACATCTAATGACTGCATTTTGCAAGGAAGTCCTCGAAATCTGTTTATATTCACCCCGAAGAGAGTGGGGACCTTATTGAGCTGCTATGATGCCTCCTACCTCAAAGACGTCACCAACACTGAGGAGCATGTGGTTCAGCCAGACCATCTGTGATGAAAAATGAGGAGGATCCCTAATTAGAAATCACAGGACAACACAGTTTTTCACAACTTCTGCCCCCTCTCCCCTTATGTCAGAATTACGTCAACAGACCAGATATGTATTTCCACATTTTCACCATGCAGTAACAACAGATTATTGCAGGATCAGTATCACAGTGTTTGGATATGCCAAAGTCAAAATGCATAGGCTTTTTGTTGGCTGTTGATGAAGTACATTAAACCCACACTTTTGCTTGAATATAGACTACTTTGATAATATTGTCAATTTGGCAAAGATGGTTTTTATGTTTTTTTAAGTTCTTTTTTGTAAGCAGAAGCAGCATGACGTCAATACCGTGGCTCTTCCAGATGATCCCAAATGCGCAGACCCTGCTCGTGAATATGCATTATATATGCACCCATTTCTGGTAGTTCTGGCTTCATCCTGTTCAACAGGGGGGAGGCTGAAGCACACTGTCCATTTATATACAGTCTATGAAAAGAAAAACACACTCAGACAGATAACATCACATTCTTCTGCAAGCATTTCTCTAATCATGTCAGGCATCTTTTTTCTTATCATATGTTTAAAGGTCAGGTGTGTGTGTGTGTGTGTGTGTGTGTGTGTGTGTGTGTGTGTGTGTGTGTGTGTGTGTGTGTGTGTGTGTGTGTGTGTGTGTGTGTGTGTGTGTGTGTGTGTGTGTGTGTGTGTGTGTGTGTGTGTGTGTGTGTGTGCGCGCTGGGCTTTTGTTAAGGTGTGTTTGATAACCTGTGGGGGTTACAGAAGGATATAGTGGAGTCACATCCTATTTCCCTAAGCAAATGTTCTGCAAGCCATTAACCTACCAACCATTGTGTTGTGTGATCAAATCGATGTGTAGCATGTGTAAATGCCTCTGCTGTAAAAACAAACAACAACCTACAAATTCTCAATATTTTAGTGAGAGAGAGAGAGAGAGAAAAAACCTTCTGCCAGTGTTGTCATGCCCACACTGTCAAGTCAAGTCACGTTGACAAGGCGTCGCTCTGTTCTGCTGCAGCTCCTCCGCTCATTTTGGATTATGTGTTGTTGTATCTGTGTCTGTGCTGCAGAGCCTGCAGTCCTTCCACTCTGTAATAACTGCGATTTTCAGAGCAGACGAACATATTCTAATCCATTCTGTCACTGCTGGACCTTAACAGTCTCTTTGTGTCTTTTTGTCAGAAAAAACAGAAATCCTGCATGTCTTCATCCTCTGTATCTATGGTACTCTCCCTCTATTCTTTCTTTGTTGTTTTGTTTTTCAGTATGTCTGCACTTCATTTCTTATAGCAGGTTTCAATTATACTGTTTTTTCTAAAATATGTAATCTTCCAGGTATTTTTCCCTGTGGCTGTCTCTAACATTCTCCTCGTCTTCCTTCTGCCTCCATCATTGTATTCATTGTACGTCTCGTAGTGTGAAGGCTCATCAAATGCTCTTGTCATGCTGCACCAGCGATGATTGGCCGCTCCAGAAGAGATGAGTGTGCAGGCAGGACAAAGTCAGACTGATCATTGAAATTAGGGTGACAGCACGCTGTCTGTCGTACAAAAAATCCTTCATGCTGCTCGAGGATTTCTGTATTATCTTGACTCTTGACCACAGTATAACTTTATGATTTTTATTTAGATATGCACACATCAAGACAAATAGGTTCCATTGTTAGAAAATATGAAAACCATCATTGGCTTAATGTTTCATCATTTTAGGTGTTTTATGTTTGTGTGAAATATATTTAATACTACAATCTTGCCAGCAAACATCAGAAGGGTATTCCTCATCAGATCTTTTCATTTCAGACATATCATCTGAAGCTAACGAAAAGTTAGCTAAGTTAGCTACACAATAGTTAAAGCAGTAAAATGATTTAAATATTCAGCAACAATTAGCTCTACTGACAAACCAGCTTGTGTGTAGTCCATGTTTTAATTTAGACACAGATTCATCTCCTCTCAGGTTAGTTAAATTATAACTAGGCTAAAATGAGACTAATTAAGAGCTGGTGCCACTTCCATGGATTACAAGCATGGCTGCAGGACTTGTGTTCCTGCAGGAGTTTATAAAGAGAGGTTTTCTTTTATACCTCAAAAACCTTCAAGCCTGACCGATGCAGCTGATACCAGGAAGGGGGAGGGGAAGTGAAACAATGATCATATTTGCCGTGGGCCAGCCTTCCCAAATTTAAGACTGCCACGGCCCACTTTGAAACACAAAATGACTCCACGGCCACACTTTGGGAAGCACTGCTGTAGGCTTTGCATCCACTACTAACCTGCTTGATTTCTGTTTTAACGATGAGATGGTCGTTTAAAGCAAAAGTCTGAATTGAAACACATCCCAGAGGACCGGGGTAGACATTGTTAACGGACTGCACTCATGTAGCACTTTTCAAGTCCTCCTTTCCTTGGCGTGATGAATCATATTCACCCATTCACACACACATTCATACCCTGTGGTCAGAGGCTGCTATGGGCTGGACATAAGAAGCTAAGCTAATCTTTGAAAGGCTTGCGTTTGTTAGCAATTTGGAATTAATTGTCTCTCCCAAAGACACTTTGACATATGGACTGCAGGGGCTGGGAATTCATCTGATCAGGAGAGAACTCTTTGTCTGCTACAACTCCCTGGAGGAGAAGCCTCTTTCCCTGGTCCAGAGTGACCTAAGTGCCTTCACCTCCAAACAAAAGGCTGGCCTGATATTCCCCTTAAAAAAGGATCCGTAATAATCCAATTCTAAATCAACAAATTTGGATTTGCCTAAATAACCTCAAATCCATTAGAGCCCCCTCAAACATTCAAAGCAGTGTTAAATCCTCACCAGGTCGACCTGCAGCGGCAAAAATACAACACTAAAGTGGACAACAGAACCCTGGCAGTACTTTTTGTTTGATTTATGTAGAAAAGTTTAATCTGGATTTTATCTTCTTGGGTTTAGGATGATCATCAAGTATGAAGTAACAAACCCAGTGGTACTGTGTGTGTGAATGAGTAGGGGTCCACTAATAAAAGAGACAACATGCATGTTTACAAGATGCAGCTGGAGGCTCAGGCTGTCCGTTTCACGCTTCAGCAAACAGCCATAAATAGAATCAGTCATGTGAATACTGCAGGTTCTCTTTATTAAGATACACATTCTCTTCTCATTCTCTGACTCTCAGTTTTTCTGTCTTTTCCACTTATGATCGAAATGATACTCTACAAGCCAACATCCAAATATAAATAGCCTGTTTATACTGTTAATACTGCAGCAGTGATTCTTTAGTGAATTTGAATCTTAAAGAGAGTCTCTGCTTTAAGCGATTATCACGAGGAAGAGAGCAGGGGGAGGATGTGCGTGCATGTTGGTGGTGCCATGACATATGAGCCAGGCAGGCTTGACAGGAGTGGAGCCTGGAGGTGGGAGAGAAGAAGGCTGCTCGTACATTTGTGAAAATAAAGTCACACTAAACTACATAGCTGTAGCCTGTGTGTCCAGCTCCAAAATTCAGTTGTTGTAGCTGTAAAGGGCAACACAGATAGTAATGTTTTATTTTCAGCATGGATAATGAAATATTAGGTTAACACTGAAGTGAGTTTAACCAGAAATGAAGACTTACTTTTTTAACTAACAAACAAGCAGTGGGAAAAAAAGAAAAAAAAGCAAACCCATTTTCATCTCAGAAACAACATTATTGCATTGTTCTACGCATAACCTTTCGTCTATGGGGAGCTTTTATTTTGGAGAGCTCTGCTATGTGTTTGGCGTACGTACATCCTTTCTGGGCAGCCAATTCTGCGCACAACAGATTCAATTGCATACCAGGATGTTATTTTCCTGCCAGTATGCTGCAGTCTAAAAATAATAATAAAAAAAGTCCTTGCTCAAGGAAGGAGCTACATTCATTTGAGAGATATCTGATTGGTCATTAAATCACACATGACCATAAAAAGTATTAATGAGGAATATTAGTAGTTAGACAATACACAGATTATAAAAATAAAGTTCTGAATACAACAATAGTCTATTTAAAACTCAACATAATGTAAGCACATTGTGTATTATCACCATATCATAACACTATGATTGAAAGTGTTTCATGTGTGATGATGTTTTTCTCTCTGCCACAGGATGAGACGGGAGCCTACGTGATCGACAGAGACCCCACGTACTTTGGTCCCATCCTAAACTACTTGAGACACGGCAAGCTGGTGTACAACAAGGAGCTGGCTGAAGAAGGTCTTTGATCTGCTTTCACTTTACTCTGATGGGGCCTGGGTGCATGAGTTTGTGGGTTTGTGGCCATAAGGAAATGCCTTGTTGTCTCCAAACTGTACATACTACCTCACATACTGTTATTTCTCTGGAAGTGTCCTGTAGCAATCAAGTTAATGAAAGATAAACATTTATAATATGCATAGAAACTGCTTAGTAACTATTGGGTTACTCAACATAGTGACTTCAAACATGGGTGTACATTTGAAGTTCAGATAAAAGTAAAAGGATGGTATGTAAACACATCAAATGTAACTATTCATTAAAAGTGAATAGTTAAAGTAATGAACAAATTGTTTAAATAGTTGATTAGACTATTTAATGATCATGAAAACTTAAATCAATCAGTAAAAAGTAGACTGTGTGAAGAATGGACAGCAGAATACTTCGCCTCAAGTGAAGCCAAAAGATTTAGAGCTCCCCCTGCTGACCCACTGCAGTATAGGTCATACACCGCCATCATGTGAATACAGCAGGTTATTTTTATTAAGTGTCTTCTGCAGCGCTGTGTTCACCAGTACAGCAGAAACAGCAAGAGGAAACTTAACAGACACAAACACAAGAGTCATTGAACTCTTTCTAACTATCACCAATCTAATCTGTTCTGCTTAGGACGGTATACCTGAGGCATCTGTGCCATTTTATGGATAAGTTAAATGTGTGTTTTTGTTATCGGAGGTGATGTGATGTTAATTCTGCGGCTCTTCCAGCCAATCTCTGCGCAGACTCTGGTTCCAAATTCACAATGTGTCAGTAACTGTCTAGTTTTTGTTGTTGCTTTATCTTTGTGCAGTTGGAGAAGGCTGAGGCACATTGTCCATTTGTGTTTATGCAACACCTTCATTATTAGTGAAAATAGTTAGCCAAGACCTAAAGTATCACAGTTAGCTTAAAGTAAAGACTTTATGACAAACATAAAAAGCTCAAGTTAAACATCCAAAAGTAAACAGAAAGCTAAAAGAACCAAATGAATGTTTCAAAACTTCAAGTAACTTGTAAATGATAAAATCAAATATAAGAGTAATCAATGAATCAATTAATGGAAGAATAAGGACTTACTGATTACAATAGCAAGCTAAAAGTAATGACAGTTTTTATAATGAATAAGCGGAGTCCACTTATATTATTAAAAAACATCTGAAACTTATTTTGAGAATCATTTGTAAATCGGCCGGTGTTGATTTAAGGGTTTTGAGTTGTGGTGTAAATTATTTCTCAAAGAAACACACTGAATCTTTTGTTTTCAGGTGTCCTGGAGGAGGCTGAGTTTTACAACATTACCCCACTGATCAAACTCATCAAGGAGAGGATCGTGGAGAGAGACTCCAAAGCCACGCAGGTATGCACAGAACTAGTCAAACTGTTTTCATGAAGGAGGAGTATTGCTCGTCCACACTGCTCTGATGGCTTCACAGAGAAACATGGCTCCCTCCAGTCGCTTCACTAGTTTTTTAAATGCAGTTATTAACAATGTGATGGTGTCAGTGAGCAGCCTTTCAGTCATTCTCTTTGTTTGTGATTTCACCCTTCTGTGCCTTTCTTTAAAGAGTGCTGCTGTACATCAGGCTTCTCTCTCCTAGATGTTTGCACTCTTACATAACTCCACTGCCGTACCAAACATACACCCACTAGCTTTTGCCTTTGGATTACATATTGTAGAATAATGCAGAAAAATAAGTGACTACATCACATATTTCTGTTTAAATGCTGACAACTACCTCCATGTCACGTCTGTGGGATTTAGTCCAGGCAGATAAATGTGAGACCTTAGATCAGCTTTGTTCAGGTTCATTGAGCAACCGAGTGTCCTCTGGTCATATGAATGAATCTGAATGTTCAAGTTGTTGTGAATTATTTGATTATTATTATTAGCATATTTCTCTCATTCGATTTTTTTAGCTGCCTCTTCATCCGTCTTCTGTCTCCTAAACCCTCTCTTCTCTCTTTTCCCAGCAGGTGCCCCCCAAGCACGTCTACAGAGTGTTGCAGTGTCAGGAGGAGGAGCTGACCCAGATGGTCTCCACGATGTCGGACGGCTGGAAGTTTGAGCAGGTCAGCGTGCGCGCCTGCAGAAAGCCCCGCACCGGACTGCTCTGGACTGTGGGTTGGACTCACGCTGCTGCTGACCCTTCAATCTTGACCCTTGGCCTGACCCCCTTGGCCCTCACCTGAGCCCTGCTATCTGCACTCCCAAAATCAGATTAGGACTTCCAGATTGCATTTGATTGTTTGGTTCAGTTCTCCCTTTTTTTCCCGCTGAAAAAGGACAAATAGCTGATTTTCCCGAAAAAGCCCCATCTTTAATTTTCTCCACTGCCCTTTGATAGAGATAACAACATGATGCCACAACATGTGCGGCCCTCTTCATTCTAACCGGCAGCCTCTATTATTCAGTCTCTGACTCAGACTACACTACAGTGGTACCCGTGCTCCAGTCACTGTTTTGGTCCAAGTGTTTTTTCTACGGCTGATAGACTTTGGCGAATGTGCTGGAAAAGCATCGTCTTTATTTATCAAAGACAATAAAACATTTTAGTAAAGTCTGCCGCGACAGGACTTAGAGAAGTGGAATCAGTGTTTTCACATAGTGAGCAAAAAACATGAAATCAGTCGCAAACATTTAGCACTCTCAGATTAATGATTCCTATGCATGCACTAACATCATAAAGTTGAATTGTTGCCCTGATCTTTCTCTCAGTTTTTTTCTGTATACTTCATTTTTTTTTTTTTAAGATTTCTTTGGGCGGTTTTGCCTTTATTGTGATAAGAAAGCTGAAGATAGGAAACTATTGGAACGGGAGAGAGAGTGGGGATGACATGACAGCGAGGGGCCGAGGTCAGAGTCAAACCCGGCAGCAAGCACTAAAGCCAGACTAGAGCCCCCTTTCCTTATATTTCTACTATGTTGGTTACAGATATCAGACTGCAATCTTTCAAATCTGAAACCTTTTTGAGTTTGAAAAATGTGATTCATTAATCATATATTGTAGAAAGTGTTGAATTGAAAAGCTAGATAATAGACATATTTGAAGTTTTCTTTCACCTAAACTAGAGAAACTTTTAGAGAAAGGGTTTTTTTTGGTTTTGATTCAAAACAGGCAGATGACTCATTTAAGCTAACTTTGTGAAATTGTGACGGATAACTTTTGAACTATATTAACTAAGTGTGGCCCACAAATGTTTGACTGTTTAATATTTTCTCTCACAGTATTGACAGTCGTATGAAAACAGTGACCCCATTTCAACACTGCTCACAGTGAGAACACAGAACACTGTTAGATTGATCTAATAATGTAGATCGATCCCTTGGCGTCAAGCGTTAACAAATGTTTTTTTAGGCGATGAGAGGCTTTAGTTTGATGATTTTCTTGAATAGAGATTCAGACCAACATCTCTGAGAGCTTTACTGAGTCTCAATATTTCAGTCTATCCCCACTGTAGCTATGATTTGGATATAGACCCGTCTGCCCCTCCCCCCCACCCAACCCCTCCTGCTGCTTTGCCACTTGTCTCCACTGCATGCTGCACAGCCACGATTTGTTTCCTGCAGAAGCGGACCCACGGTTGTGTTTTTGTTCCCACCAGTTAAGAAGAAGCTTCTTGTTGAGTCCACTGAGTGTTTAGCAGGAGATCGAACCGCCCCGCTCCCCCCACCCGCATGAGCTCAAGACTCTTTCCTCACTGTGATGGGACCCTTCCTTGATTTCTCCGCTGTTGTCTCTACTTCTTCCAGACACTCACTCCCCCTTTTTCTCTGTCTCTGTTTATCTTTCTGTATCTGTGTCTTTTTCAAGATGGTGAACATCGGCTCGTCATACAGCTACGGGACAGAGGACCAGGCTGAGTTTCTATGTGTCGTATCAAAGGAGCTTCATACTCCCGGTTCTGGACTGGGCACGGAGCAGAGTCACAAAACCAAGGTGAATGCTCTAACGTTGTCCTCATACAGTAAACACACACATGTATTTTTAAAGACTCGTTGTAAGATCAAGCTTCCAGGCTGTGTGCTCCTCGCTGTCCTTGCTTTGTGTGTGTGCGCTTTTCTGTGTCTGTGTGAAAGAGAAGGAGGGTATTTCCTCTCGCTGAAGGGGATACGAGTGTGCTTTGATCCTGCGTTCTCCACTCAAAGCTCCAAATGTCGCTCACCTCCAAATGTCATTCACACAATCATTCAGCCCAACCTTCATGCAGCTCTCCCTTTCTTTCCTGCTGTTATCCACTGTTCCTTCCCGTCTACCTCTTATTGTATCTCTCTATTTTCTCCCTCCTTCATGTGGATTTAGAGACATATATCTGTCCTGCTCTATATCTATCCCTCTGCCTATCACAGTCCACTCACTGACACTCATCAACATGTTCATTTTTTGTCGTTTTCTGTCTCGTTTTCTTTTTTCTTTTCTTTTCTTTTTTTTTGGTGTGTTTTCCCCTCCGTCCCATCATGCTGAATGAAGCCGGCGGAGATGCAGGAGGAGGAGGAGGAGGCTGCGAAGGATGAGGAGCAAGAGCAGGAGGAGGAGGAGGAGGGAGAGAGAGATACCAGACCGAATGAGTGGCTTAGAGAATGAGGGAGTCATGTTTCTTTGTTCCAAAGAGAGGCGGGAATGGGTGAGGAACTGTGCGCTGGATGTGCTAGCGGGTAGACCTGGTAGATTTTAGTGTGTGAGGGTTTGTATGCGTGTGTATGTATACATGTCTATGGTGATCGTCGTTGTTTTATGTCACCGCATTGAGAATGACCTCTATTTAAGTTAACCCAGTGCACACTCAAACAAGCAAATACAAGTAGATGTGCAAAGCAGTGAAGATACTAAAACCATACACTGACTTAACCCACAGCTTAAATAATGGCATTAACGTTGTTTGTGTAAAAACTTTGTTCATATGAATCTGATTTTGTTCATCCGCATAGGACACATCTCAAGGCTTTGACCATGCCTAGTAATCTGCTTGCATTTAAAAAGCCTGCACAGGCAAAGGCTTTTGCAGCACCGCTAATGACTCAATTCAAAGCAACACTTTGCACGTGCGATACAGTTTGCTGATTGGCTGTTGGATGAAAATGTCATACCGTCATGCTGTTCGTCTTCATGACCTGCAGCAGCTTGTGTCTGAGTGTGAATATGGACATGCTCAGTCTGGTCTCTCAGTGACCCATCACAGCCACACACATATTGATTGAACACTGTGTCTCTGTGGGCTCTCATTACCGATGCTGTGACATGAATATCTCTGACCTTTCAGTGTAGCTGTAGTGTTGGATGTCCTTCCCAGTCTGTGTGCATACCGTATTTACATTCACAATGCACAGTCACTCAGAGGAGATAACACCCTGAGAAACCACTTTCAAACATGGACGTCATGCATTTTAAACACGGTTAAAACGTCTCATTCTCATGTCAGTCAAGTCATTAGCTCTCATTCTGTCTCCATAATCGCAGCCAAAAAATCATTTCAATTAGCTAGAAGGTTTTAAGGTTACATTGCCGCGGATCCACATTTTCTGATGTCTGATTTTTGTTTTTAATTTACAGCTTTTCCAGATCCACGGGTCCCGGATGTGAAAAAAAAAAAAAAGAATATAACTTTTATCTTGGCTCATTATGACACTCACACAGTGTAAGTGTGCCTCAACAGGTGGTCATCAAAAACAAGATCTGTAGCATCGGTTTATTTACATAATGCCAGTTATAAAGATGGCCAAAAAGGAAGAAGAATAGGTTAGTCTCACAGCTTTATTTTCAAGTAGTTTATTTTTTTTCTTTTCAGTGACACTCATTTTATGAGAAGAAATCGTCATGTGCTGGGCTGTGCAAACATTACATTGCCAAGGACAGTAGTGGAGCTTAGTAAATTATGACCAAAGATTCAAAGTAAAGCTGGCTGATCCAAGGTGCTGCATACACAAACATGACAGAGAATCTGAAATCTGCCTTCATCACTCAGTGAGGAGCTTTTTCTGCATCAATCCAATCTGATCAATCTTAAATGGAGTGCAGGGATCTGATTACTCCTGTACTGTGCAACTTTGGATGCAGTTGTTCCCAAGATCTTTAACTTCATGCCCATTTAGCTCCGATGTTGCACAAGGCTGCTTCGGTAAACAATCCCCTTGGCAACAAAAACACAATATATGCAGTGATCCCATCAACTGTTAACTTTAGAAATGTAATATAGATTCACTTAACCATAAAGCTTGTAAAGAATAACTGAATGGTGACTGAATCATTTGTTGTCCAATGCTGGTTTAATCTTCAGGTATTAGATGTTATTAAGCCAGTGATTGGTTTGTTTGGCTTTTAATCGATGGATGGAATCAGTGTAGCTGAAGACAGAGAAGGGGATTTGTTCATATCCAAGTATTTACTCAAAATAATACAAAGATTTCATCTGGCTACAGGAAGACTGAAAGATAATAAGAGTCTGTCTATCAGAGCTCAAAGCAACAGCAGTTACACTCACACGCTGCCCCTCCAGCATCAACACCCTGCGGTGCGCTGATACACACCTGCATCACCACGTGCCGGTGCAGGCTCAGCAGCATTCGTCTCAGTCTGTCGCCTTGGCTGCAATCCAAAGGCAGCTTTGGCCTCAGCTGACAGAGACGCTGGCATGAGTTAGCAAAGAGTGTAAGAGAGACTCAGAGAGAAGGAGGGGGGGGGGACAAACTGAGCAGGAGAGGGTGACAAAGCAGTGTGTGGTGAAGCTACTCTATGTCCTCTGTTGTTTTCTTTGTCAGTTCAGAGAGAGGACAGCTCGCAGCTCCTACTTTCAACAGTGTGCTGATCTGCCGCAGTGCAGGTGTGTGATTGAGGGAGGTTTTTTTAGAAGCAGTAACTTACATAACACGTGACTTCTAACAACCTCTATTGGCAACTTGTAGGAACTGCACCACAGATCAGATGTGTATCCTGTGTCTGTCTGTAGAACAAACCCTGACAGACGTTTTTGTAAATGTGCATAATGGAATAAAATAGGTTTTAGGTGTAGTTTGGTAAATACACCTGCTGCAGGTTTTTGACTTTACATTTACCGTAAATGGACTTGGAAAACTCTAGCAGTGTGGTCGTTGAATGCCTGATAGTAAAGGGTCATGGCTTAAAGAAAACAAGGTTTCTAACATTTTTAACAGCAGGTTAGAAAATATGTAAATAAGCATTTTATGTACAATTTATTTACAATAACCCCGTGTTATGTCATAGCTTATCAGAAAACATCATCATCAAATAAAACAGAAATGTCACAGAGCAGAAGCTAATGGAAGTGTAGCAAGCCGAACAATAAAATACATAAAATATTCTTCAGTTCATTCACAAACAACCATAACAGGAACAACAAGGGTTACCATTCAGAGTTTCCTAGTCCGGCTTGTTAGCCATGTTGACTTTCCAAATTCATGTTAGCCAGCTACACTCGTGATACCCTCCAATAAGTGTGTGTCTACATGATATAGCTTCGCCTAATCCCATCATCCCGTTCTGTGATTGGTTAATTTTCCTTGTCCTTGTGGTCAGCCCAGTTTACATCAGCCCCCTCCCCCCCCTCTGCAGGTTAGCTCCAGTTAAAACTGACTGCCCGGATTGATAAAGAGTAGGGACGCCAATACACTCAAACTGTTAAACCCAGGCAATAATGAAGTCACATTACGAGACAATCCAACTTTAAGAACATTGTCTGCGACTTCTTTGATATAATTTTGATAAATAAATCTGAAAAAAAGCCTTCAAATACGACATGGTGTGTCTGTGTGATGCGTAAGAGAAAGTGTGTGAGGTATTTCACCTGTAAGAGAAAAACATCCTGGACCTCTCCGGTCTCTCCCGACGTGCTTTCAGCTGAGTTAGCAGGTATAGTGACGTCATCATGCTTGTGATAATCATGACACACATTAGAAGGAGGAAGACGACTGAAAGAGACACGATGTGATATGATGTTTATAATTGTATAAAATCTGTTTTTTTTTTGGGTTGTCGCCTGTTTAACTTGGATCATTTGGTGCCTTGAGTCCAAATTCCTCCGTGTCAAAGTGCTCACAGGAGTTAATACAAGCGTTAATAAATAGCTGAGTTATTCATTGTGTCGACTGATGTGTAGTTTACAATCTCACTGAGGTTTGTTATTTGTGTGTTTTTTCCTCCAGTACAGATTTGCTGTAAGAATTGTATTTTTTGATAAGGATACAGAGAAAGTACACTGATAGGCTGACGGGGTGTTTTGTATATAATGTCATGCTTTTTTTTTTTTATATATATATTTTTTTGTACTTTCAGTTGTTTAATTTATTCTTTTTGAATGTTACACTTCAAAGAATTTTTTGACTTTTTTTTCCAGAGTGTGTGACTGGGAGGAGGTTGACACCATCTTTAGGTGACTTCTGTTTTTTTTGTAATTAACTCCAACAGTTTATAGATCTTGATTTGTTAGGTTTACTGAATATGATGCACACACATGCTGATGAATGGACTTTGACCAAGATAAGAATTCCTCTCAAGTGAAAGCCGCTCTACAATGAAACTTTCTTATGCATGTCCAGTGACTTTGGTTTGCCGGGTGTTTTTACTCGTTTACTATGTGTTCATCTGCTGAACAGTAGAGTGTGTTTTTATGTAGTATTTGATGTGTCGGTCTACATAGCAGTCCTATTTCATCATTCTGTGGGGGAGGGGGAACTTTCAGGCAGCTGTGGATAGAAAACTGTTTTTTATCTGATGCTGGACTTTTCTTCTTCTGCCATCCTTAGAGCCTCAGTGTCTGTAAACATGAAACTGTGTGACACATGCAATGTAACGCCTCAAATCAACCTGTACGGGCTTTAAGGAACACTGTGTTTTCATTTCATTATCAGGACCTGAGCAACATACATTTGCAACAATGTGACATGAGTTGAATATTTTTTATTTAATATAAATGAATGTCACCATTCAACAAAAATAAATCTTTGTCCTTTGGTTTAAAAAAACTGAAAATCTTGTTTGTTTGTTTTGTTATTAGAGTCGGCAAATGTTACAAGAGACACATCCCTGACTAATCCACATGACACTGCTCAATGAAGTTTACAGTTTACAAAAATAAAGAAGCTAGTTTCTAAGTAGCCATTCCAGAGGTTACCTCCTACACTGTTCCTCATGAAGCTCATTAGTCGAGACGTACAGCATGTTCTCCATTAGTGTAGTTCCAGAGTTTGATTAGATCATTTCAGTGGGTGATGGACAGACGAGTAAATACAACAAGAAGCCAAATACAAAATGATGCGAAAGCCTTTGATTTGCATTTCATTTTAAAGAATGTCACAAAACTTGTATGCATCAATCAGAGTTATTAACAAGAACAAAGCTGGGGTCATGTTCTGCACCATCACAAACTGTCTTCAATCACAATGAATGCATCCTTTCCCAAAAACAACGTATCACTAACTGGAGTGCCAGATTCTTTTTTCTGATGCACAAAATAGACGATGGCTGAATGGTTAGTTTGGGCGTCCTGTGTGCAGACTGCAGAGGCAGTGGTCCAGATTCAAATCCCGTCTGTGGCTGCTTTTCCACATGTCATTCCCCACTCTCTCTCTCTCTCTCTCTCTCTCTCTCTCTCTCTCTCTCTCTATCTCTCTCTCTCTGCATCATATTCCTGCATAAAGTGTAAAAGTGATCGTGTAAAAACAGCGGTTGCTGTTAACAGTTGTGCTGAAGTGTAAGAAGAGGAAAAAAACACCTGATAAGTGTTTTCTTCTCCCTCAGTGAGGAACGTTTTACTCCACTTAGCTATCTCCTTAGAGCTTAAAGTTGAACTTGTATGTTTTATAAAGAATGGACCATATCAGTAGAACCTAATCTTATAATTGTACTTCATGCTGCTTAAATACACATTCATACTTTCTGACACCTCTTGTAATTGCATCTGCTCTTTAGGGTCCATTCTCAAACCAGCCCCTGCACCCTCTGCATACACACGGTTGCTCACATGCAAAGAGTGTTATCAAAGATCTGAGTGTGGAGTGGGATAAAGCTGTTCAACACTCCCAGGTCTGCACCGATGCAGATTTTAGCACGGCCTGTAAACGCCCTTTTATTGTTCTTCAGAGGAGATGCTTCTTAAAAAAAAGTTTATTATTATCACACTCAGTTTGCGTAACTGGAAGGACCAGAAAAGATCCGTACAAACTGTAGCTATGTACAAGGAGCTTAAATTACATAAATAATTGACTTGTATGCTCCTTGTAGCCACCGTTAAGTTTGAAAACAGATGAAACAGCTTGACCTCTGTCTGTGACAGTGATGGGCTCTACAGCAGGTAAGTGCTACAGGAAGGTACTGAGGGTGTTATCCACAGTGGCCAGCTGCAGGTACTCGGGATGCTCCCCCTCAGACTCCACCTCGGAGTCCTGCTCCTTGTCGTCCTCTGTGCTCTGACTCGAGAGCGGCGTCCTTCTCCGGACGGATCCTCGAGAGCGGCGCTCCAGGCATGAGAGGATCATCTGTGCCAGGTCCTGCTGGAGCCGCTGGAAGTTCTCTCTGGAGAACCGGGAACCAAGATGTTCATACAAGTAAGTCATCACACTTCTTGTCAAGCATCCAAAGATCATATTAAATACATTTTGATTCAACATTACGATGACAGAATACAGAAATACAATCCCTTAAATACAGCACTAAGAAGTGATGCTTCATGACTCAGGAGCATTCGAAGCCCAGATTAGAGCAGGAGGTATCATGGACCAAACACAATCACAAAACTACATGTGATTCGTTTACACTAACTGGATCATCACTTAAAGACTTCAGCATAATGTGCTTTAATGTATCTCATTTCAATCGTCTCCATCTGCCTCACAATGATGAAGGATTTCTACAAAAACACACACCATGTAACATGTGGTAATTACTGGGTTGTGTTTCCTTTGCACAGCGCTAGGCTAGCTGATTTGAATTGAGTATCTTTGCTAAGCTAAGCTAACCTGGCTGTTGGCTGTAGCTTCATATTCATCATATAGACATGAGAATGACCACCCTGAGCATATATTGCTCTAAATGATGCCTTTTAAAGACGAATGTGTACATTTGTATTCATTTGAAAAGGTATGCAGCATTGAGCCTCAAACATCTCATGGGTCTAATGGTTTTCAGGAGGTCGTAGTGAGTCGTTGTTGCAGTGAAGTTTTGTAGCCAGATGTTATTGAGGAGAATGTGGAGGGTCTGCTTACGTTGTGGGAGGAGTCGGGAGATCGTAGTCTTTGCCGGTCTCACCTGTCAACCAGTAGGTTGTCTCTGTACCTTCACCCTTTAAAAAAAAACACACAAACACACACATTAACATCCATGTGTGTCAGCGACTCAGCCTTGTATCTCACTAGGATTGATGTTGCACAGGTCGTTTTACATCTTAAAGGTAGAGTCAGAAGCGTTCCTGAACAAAATAGAATATAACTTATACGTAAGTAATGCAGCTCAATCCTCCCTTTATGGGCCTCAGTTAGGGCCGGGCAATATATCGAATTTTTAAGATATATGGATATATTTTCAAACAAGATATAGGGTAAGACAATATTGTTAATATCAAAATAGTTTGAGTTGCATTAAAATAACATCATAGAGGTGTCAGGTCACCTTTTTCTCATCTCACTGATGATGACTGACTGTCTGTCCCTCTTAACTCTGCTCCTCCTCTCTCTCTCTTTTATTGTATTTAAGGAACATTTTTATTTTTTAATATTACTTTTTAAATTCACAAACAGGTAGTTTATTTTTCCATGTGTTTTCACTGTTAATAAAATACATATCGATATATATCGAGTATCGCCATTCAGCTAAACAATATCAAGATATGATTTTGGTCCATATCTCCCAGCCCTAGCCTCAGTACATGTGTGAGGGCTACTGTGTCTGCAGAGAACCTGTCTGTCTTTATTTTGATGTTTTTGTTCTTTTAGTTGCCTCAGGACGTTTCTGGGCGGGGATGCTGGTGTGTATCCCCCAGCCAATGACAGCGCACAGGTGAGTTTAGGAGTGGATACAATACGATCCAAACCTGTGACGATATGACAGACGTGGAAGTAGCGGCAAAGAAGAGAAATTGTATCGCAGTGAGGAGAAAAGAGTTGGGTCTGCTTTCTGTTGGACAGGCAACTTGTGCTAACGTGTGGTATCTTTGTCCGTATAAGCAGTAAACGTACACACTATATGTCCTGCAGTGATGAGCCCAGAAGAAGGGGCTCAGTTGAATGTTTGGTTTACAAGCTGCAACTAAACAATGCCACTGACTCCACCTTTCATTCATCTGAAAGTTTTAGAAAAAGGAAAAGCAAAGTGGTCTATTTTTACCTTCAGATATGATTCTTTGATCTCATACTCGTACATGCAGTGTGTCCTCTGCAGGATATTTATAGTTGGCTCGCTGACGTGGATCTTCAAGGCTGCAGGACATGAAATCATCAGGTTGAATAAGATGTTTTTGACGCACGCTTGGCAGGTTACGTTTATTTAATTATTTTGACTTTGAGCTTCTGTAAATGCAGAGGAGTAATGAGCAGACGATCACTTGGACTTGTTGAAAGCTGAAAGCATGAATGTCTGTGTGAATCATCGTGTTGTGCATGAGTTTATTTCCATACTCACGGTGACCTGTAGACTCCATACGAGATGCCGTGTTGACCGTGTCTCCAAATAAACAATATCTGGGCATCTTTAACCCCACAACACCCGCAGCGCAGGGACCTGGACACACATATAAAATAATAGAGCTGATCTGATTACTATATAGAAGCTTTATTTTGAGAGGGATAGATGAAGCCTCCAATGAAGGACAATTCAAGAAATATTCACTTTTTTTCTTTTTACTGAAACATTGAAAAGTATTGTAGTCTACCTGAGTGGACGCCGATACGTATCCACACAGGGATGCCAGGCAGGTGTCGAAGCTGGAAGGTGCCCATAAAGGCCAAGATTTCGAGAGCCATGCGGCAGATATCAACTGCGTGCCTGTTCCCATTTCTGTTAGGAAGTCCAGAGGCCACCATGTAGGCGTCACCTATCGTCTCCACCTGAATAACAGTAGAAGAAATAATAATGACCTCTGTGGTGCTGTGCTGTTTATTTGTTCTAAGTTGAACCTTGTTAGCACCTTGTAAACATCATGGTGGTCGACGATGCTGTCGAAGCCCTTGTAGATATCATTGAGCATGTCCACCACTTCCATCGGCGTGCTGTACTGACACAGAGTGGTGAAACCGACGATGTCACTGAAATAAACCGTCACCTCGTCATACAGCTCAGGCTCCACCATGCCAGTCTCCTTCAGGCTTTTTACAACAGGGCTACACGGAGAGAAACATGTAAATAAGAGACACAAGAGAAACTCTGACCTACCAACCTTCAACCTCGTATAAAAGATATAACCCTGTAAACGTTTATAGCAGGGCTGTAAAACAATTACAATGTTTAATCATGATGAAACTCTAAATTTCAATAGTTAATCATGATTAATCTAATTTTTAATCACATGTTTGAAATTCCATTATTTGGCCTTTAAAAATGAAAATAGTTGTGCTTTTATTTTGAAATGTTGTATTGTCTTAAGCTGAGAGTACTTTACTTGCTGTTTCAATTCAACCCTGTTTTTAAATAAATTAAGAACCTCTGGTAGATCGAAGGTTACGACATTAACTTAACCACAGAAAAAGGAACTCATTAAGGATCAAAAACTAAATCAAATCAGCTCATTGGCGTGGTGAAAGGTGACAGTTTTGATGTCATGAAGTGGATTTTACTTTTAACTCTTCAGCTGAGCTGTCTGAGAGTTTTTTAAAGTGAGATGAGACGTTCAAAGATGCAGCAGTGTTGTTTATTTTCATCACTGCAACTACAGGAAGACACTGAGGAGGCTTATCTAGGGTGCGCCGAAAGGGACAAAATAGCATGTGATTTACTGCAATAAAAGAAAGAAGGCATTAATTTCAGTCGTTAATTAATCCTGATTAACTAGTTAATGAATGCTGACAGCCCTAATGTATTGATAATTATTGACATTGTTGCTGTTTTGTGTAATTCTTCTGTCCTTATAATATTAGTGTTGTAATTGTGATGTTAATATAATTAACTTCACAGCCACATCATATTTATCTAACTATTTCAGCCGGTTATCCATTACTCTTCCAGTTTCTCCCTGCCTGCTTTCAAACGTTTTGGTTTTATGGGGCGCAGATGGCCTAGCGTTGAGGTCGCGCCCCATGTACGGAGGCTTTAGTCCTCCAAGCAGGCGACCCCGGGTTCAAGTCCGAACTGTGGCTCCTTACCTGCATTTCATTCTTCACTCTCTCATCCTGATTTCTGATCTATCCACTGTCCTATCAAGTAACGGCAAAAAGCCCCAAAATACATTTAAAATAAACAAAAAACTTTGTTTCACACAAACTTTGTTGCAACTTTTTTCATATTCAGATCGTATCACTGACCAGGTGTGGAGTGTTTAAAAAAAAAAAAAGTCTTAATTCATATTTTATAAAACTACTTGAGCTCTTTCAGCATATTTTACCTACTGTCTGGTTGACAAGTACATCTTTTTTGAAAACTGGGCTAAATAACCTTTGTTTTCCGACAATGATCATGTTTTTCAGATAAAGTATTTACATAAACCCAAACCGATCCTCTAACAGGGTACATTTTGGTATCTGTTTTCTGAGGTATCTAAAGTATATGCGATGTGCTCCACTGAGTGTAAACAGACCGAGGAAGCAGCATGAAGTTGAGGCAGTCTGCTCGGTCCCTCTCAGATTTGTAGAGCACCGTCCTCTCCTCCACCAGGTGCTCCAGGTTTCTGGAATAATTCTGCAGCCGTCTGATCATGTTGTCCATGTAGCTCTCGTTGTCCTGGTTATGAATTTTACTAAATCCAAGTAAAGAGGAGGAGAAGGACAACATAAACTCTCACTGAAAACAATAAGAAACATGTAATCAAAGTCCCAGTGTGTTTAGGGCACAGCCAGGCTGCATACAGAAATCACACGTTGCAGAATTTAAGCTGTTACCTGATGATTTTCCCCAGGCAGATCTCTATCTTCTTAAAGTCAGGCCGTTTTTCTGGATCTTCATCCCAACAGCTTTTAATCATCATGTACACCTAAGAGAACGAGCACATAACAACTTTAACATGACACAGTAAATAAAGCGGCCGTACAGCTGGTTGAAACTCACCTCTGACTCTCTCTCTGAAGCCGTCTCAAAGTTCAGATCAGGTCTGAAGAAGGACATGATGACTCTGGATAGCTTTTCTGTAACACACAGACATTCATTACCCACAAGGTGATTTCAGGGGTCTTTGAATAGACGCTAATCATTGGCTCCTTCCTCAAAACAACGAATGCCTCTTAACTGAGATTCACAGAAATCAAGATGTTTAAGAAATCAGCTTTTATCATCTTTATCGGATTAAACATTATTGTGTTTAACAACAACATGTCATGTTTGAAATGTTATTCTCTGAGGTGGAGTGAGCTCACTGTATTCATCAATTAGATATCGAACAAACAAGGGGATGGAAATTGTAAATGGACTTGAGCTTGTAAAGCTCTTTTCTAGTCTTCTGACTTCTCAAAGCACTTTTTCACCACAGGTCACACCTACACATTCACACTGATGGTAGAGGCTGCTGAGTAAAGTGACCATCAGTATTAACTGATCCTACTCATACACATTCACACGACGGTGATGAAGCAGCGGGGGCGACTTGAGGTTTAGTGTCTTGCCCAAAGACACATTGGACATGTGGCTGCAGGAGCTGGGGGTCAAACCCCTGACCTTCTTGTTGAGAGACGACCGACTCTACCACTGAGCCACAGCGTTATAAAGTTACAAAAAACATACCTCATTGAAACAAATGCTCCATGTCGGTTGGAGGTGGGGAGCTTTTGCTCTGTCATTGTTGATGCAGGTTCAAGTTTTTTTGGTTTTTGCTATTTTATTTATCTTCCCGCCCTGTGGTTCTTTTTTTCACTTTGTTTTTTTTGTAAATGAAAACGCCCCCAAACATATTATTGGAAAATATAGCCTTCTATACATAAGGCTTTTAAAATAGATTTGGAGAGAAACCCTGTGTATTGTAATGACTGAAGAGAAAAGCTAAAGTAAAGTTTGAATCATTACATACTGAATCTCTCTTATTCTCAATAAGTTTAACCTGCCTGAGTGTACACTTATATGTGCTTGGGTTTGGATGTGAGTGGATTTCTCTTTGATTAGAAACCGTTATTTTAGAAACATATATTGCTTTGTTCTGTTACTTTTCAGGAGCTCAGTTTGTAAGTGTAAGTGTAAGTTTGAGGGGTTAAAGTGTGGACATGGTGTTAGTGAGTAACACCTTCTCTGTCGGAGCAGCACTCGCTGTAGAAGGTGCTCTTTCTGAGGACGATCTCCTGAGAGATGATGGAGAAGCTGTACACGTCTCCTTTCTGAGACGTTCCGTGTTTCCTCAGATGTTCCGGAGCGGTCCACAAGTCTGAGGAGTTAGAGACGGATGTAAAATCACAGAATAGATAAAAACACTTGAGTTAGATGATGCTCAGGCTTCATGTGGTCTTACCTTTTCCAGGGCTGAGGAAGCTGTTGCAGCCAAAGTCTGTGATCTTCACCACCATGCGATTATCCACCACACAGTTTGTGGACTTGAGGCGACCGTGCACCTGGATGTCACTGGCATGGAGGTAGGACATACCCTGCACACAGCAGAGGGAAGGGGAGGAACAGGTTTATATTAGAGGGGCAGTCGGTCAATGTAAGCTCCACTGACCTCTACTGGCTGCCAGAGGGAACTGCAAAAATAAGTACGATTAATACCCCAAATACACAGCAGTGAGTTTGTGTTTCTACTGTTGAGGCTATTACATTATAAACACATTAGCAATTTTGTTATGTACTTACTTAAGATATAATTATGTTGTGCACAATCAGATCAGAACCTGGAGGAATATGTCTGTGTCCACAAGTACTACTTCATGATACTCAAATTTCAACGAGTAAAAGGAATAATTAGAAGTGTAATTAATTCATCAGGACTAAGAGATAAAGGCTTATCTTGAAGTGAAGTTGAGCACACGTTTGAACTTGTCACACCTCTTAAAACACCTGGAGAACGTTTATGTTACCCTCCAAGAAAGTACAGAAAGAGAAATATTAACGCTCAGATTTTTTGCTTTTAAGGAATTACATAATAAGATTTTATCTTTTAAGTTATTCCAGGTTTCTGTTAATTAATAAACATAAAAGAAACACTCAATGAAGATGTTCAAGCTGAAGATTTCATCTGAGTACTGCTGCGTTTATAATTCCTCAAACATGTCACATTACTTAGTGTTTACTTCAAGGTAGTGTTGTAGGACTCCAGATTTTAAATCAAGACCGGTCAAGACTTCCACTGATAGGCTATTTTTCCAGGTCATCACTGTGATTAGAAGGAAAACGCCCCTTCCTATAAAAGAAGAAATTTGAATTTTTCCCCAGGTTACAGCTGCAACCTTCCTGGTGTTACGGTCTAAATGAGTGACACGCCTGCTGCACACAAGATGATGATTTCTCAGTGATATTGACGGTCTTGGTCTTGGTTTTGTCTCGCCCTGCCTCTGTCTTGGCCTTGACTCGGTCTTGATCCCTAATTGCCTGGTTCTCTTAGTCTTGGAGCACTCTGGGTATTTCTAGGGCTCGGTCAGTGTGGTCTTGACTACAACACTACTTCAAGGTGGCACTCTGCAGCACAGTTTCTGTCTCACCTTGGCAATATCGAACATGACGGAGATCTTAAACTCCCAGTCCAGGAAGGTCTCCTCTGGGTAGGAGATCTTGTCGTTCAGCACATACTGAAAGAAGAAGGGATCGAGCACGTTTGTGAGTCAAATCTGGTAAAATAGTTGTTTTCTGAAGTGTGATCATTCCTCGCTTGATCCATACTAAGCTTGTGATACTTCTTCTGTATTCTCCTTATTATGATGATTAAAAAACCTCCTCTAATAAAGGAAATGGACGTCATAACTCCTGAATACTTTTGATGCACTGAGGATGACACAATGTAATCTATGTGTTTACTTTATTTTCTTGTCTTTCTTTGGATAATAATTGTGTCTGGTTTTGGACATATTATTTATGCATGACACAACTTTAAATAAATACATTTAAATGCCACACTTACCCTGAGCGACCCCCTTTCTCCGTATTCAAACACTCCAAACACGCCCTGATCAAACTTCACCGTGCCATAAAACTTTGTGAGGTTGTAATAGTCGATCTGAAGGAGCTGGAAACAGAAGCTCTTAAGACGGCACAGAAGCTTACTTTGGAAAAATGCACAAACCACCTGTTATCTGTGTGTGTGTGTGTGTGTGTGTGTGCGTGCGTGCGTGCGTGCGTGCGTGTGTGTGTGTGTCTTACTGCATTCAGTTCTACCCTCTGGGTCTCGTTGAAGTTCCCGTCCGAGTGCTTCAGCTCCTTCAGAATCACAATCTGAAAGTTTTGCAGCAGCGTCAGTCTCACTACAACGCTCTTGTTCATGTCTGCATGCTCACATGTCAACTGAGAAACTAATGCAGGATGGTAAGTTACCTTCTTATCATAGAGTGCACGGCGAATTTTGAAATCCATCTTTTTCCTTTCGTCTTCAATCTGATCGGGGCAGAGAAAGGTTATTACCGAGCTCTTAAGTGAATTGATGTTCAAAATAAGTTTTAGCTGAGGCAAAAGAAAATGTTGAGAGCTGTGGAAAAGACTCCTTCGCTGCTCTGTAAGTGAGTGCATGTTTGCAGGTCAGTTACCTTCAGAGAAATAACGTTGAGTTCGTTGTTCTCCAGCAGCGTGATGAGGTGTGAGGGGATGTAGGACCAACGCTTCCTGACCAGACGGTCCCTTCTGTTCTGTCTGCAGAGAAACAAAACAAAACACCATCAGGAGGATTGAACCTGTCATACTTAATTAGTTTCTTATTTTCAACTTTTAAACAAAAACTTGAATCTATGAGGCCAAAGAATAGTTTCCCTTTGAAAATGATTCACGTTGGTCCAATAAATCTCTTTAAGCAGATGATAAATATCTGTATAATTCATAACAGCATCGTAATAACATCAATCCAAACATCAAAACTGAATGTCTGAGCATGTTTACATTATGTTCAATATAAGATAAGAGATAACATGTCTCAAAAGAGAACACATATAGTCTTTAAAGTGAAAGTTGATTGACAAATATCTGTTGTGTTGACAAAAGTTTTTGAACAACATTGTTTGCTAACCCCATCATGAACACATGATGCGATCATTTCACTGTGATCGACCATTGAATTTGCCATCACAGTGAACCTGAGCTTTGAGAATTGAATAAGTGCAGTTGTCATGGCTTTAGTATAACATACTGTTGTTTTCCTGTTTTAACCCTTTAACTCACTTCACAGCCGACTGTGTGAGCCTCAGGCGTGTGTGTGTAATGTCCTTGATCCTCATTTTCCAGGTTTCATGAACTGAATTTGGTTTATCACTCACCTATAGAAAATGAAGGCGATGGTCGTTACCACAACCACAGTAACAGCTAACATGATGACGATGATGTCACGTATAGGCAGGTCTGAGGATAGGAACACAAGTAGGTATTTATTAAAGCAAACCATGCCTCATCCAGGGTATTGTACACACGTAACAGCAGGAAGACACAACGCAGAGCGAACCTTCAGATTATTTAGAACACCCTGATGTTAAAGTAAATGTCCATGGTGATCTGCAGACATTTTTTACATGTCCCAGAGAAGAAAATCGCAAAGAGGATGCTGCTATTTTTTATTAGCTTTTATAAGTTGTCTTTTGGGCCATTTTCACCTTTATTTTGGATAGAGAGCTGAAGAGAAACAGGAAATGTGTGGAGGAGAGAGTGGGGGATGACAAGCAGCAATGGCTATGGTGTCATAAATCAAGCCAGATTAATTCAGCCAATGATAAATCTATAATCGTGTGTGTGTGTGTGTGTGTGTGTGTGTGTGTGTGTGTGTGTGTGCGTGCGTGTGTGTGTGTTTCAGTAGTACCTTGGTCCGGCTTGGTGTTGGGAAGTCTATTTCCCCAGATGAAGGAAGGGTTTGTCTCCACCACTTTGGTGCGGTTGGACTCAGTGTCAAAACTGAATAACAATTCGTACTGAGGAGAAGCGAGACTTTTACATTTCAGCATTAAACACCATGGCAGCAAGGGATTTGGCACATTTTAAGGTTTTTTAAGATCTTCAAGGGGATATTGCAGACAAAATATAATATGTTAACTGCTAAATGGTAAAATAATAATAATAATAATGGGAGAACAAAAGACCTCGTTGTCAGTCGTGGTGTAAATGACTGAGAGGTCCACGTCTCTGTCTCCATGCTCGTCCAGCTTGTAGGTTCCAGCACTTCCTGCACAGAATCATAGAAACATCTTAAAACACTTCAACGCCCACAAGATACTGTGCGATGGCAACTAAAAGAGGAAAAAATTGCCTGACAGACATGTGTCCCATTATTTAGGATCAGCTTGTTCCTTGAGCCTCTCACACTCCATAACACACTGTTCCTGTCTGCAGGCTCTCACACCTCATCTCTTCATCCTGTCAGTGATAAACACTAATAAGAGATAGCAGCTGACAGCTTCCATCTGTTCCGCCTCAAACACAAATAGTCACCAATGTCAACTCAGGCCTTCAGTCACAGTCGCTAAATTCATCCCAGCTGTGGTTGATGTTGAAGATTCGGAAGTATTAACTATCAGAAATGAAATTTAAAGAGGACATATCATCCCATCTTCTCCACCTTTTACCACAGTCCCCTGTGGTCTAAATGAAACATCTGTGCTGTGCTTTGGTCAAAATATAACATGAATCAAACACCAGAGGAGGTTTGTGACCCTGTTTAAACAAGCTCCCTCAGTACGCTCCGTTTTGGTGTGTGTGTCTCTTTAAATGCAATGAGCCCCTCCCCCTGAGTTTGACCCTTAGACATCACTCCTCTGTAGTGAATTAAAAATGGAGGACCTACGCAAAAGTTTTGTTCTAGGCTGGGGGTGGAGTTCGTGGGTGGAGATACCAGGGGAGGGGAGGGGAATTTTTTTTTACCAGAATCCCACTGTGACATCACAAGGAGAGCAAATTTGAAACAGAGCATTTTTCTCTGAGTTATAAGACTTATGCAGACCACAAACAAAGGACTGGATGATTTATTTCACATTTTGTGGGTCAGTAGACACTCAGGTTACCCAAATATATGTTCAGAAACACTGTGAAAGTAACTGTAATCAACATAATCAGTCCTCCCCATATTCATCATCACTACAGCTGCTGACGTTAATATTAGACTGATCAGTCCATTATCACACTTATCACACATACTTTTAACATTATTAAAAGCACTGTAGCTATAAATCTTTTTTATTGATTGTTGTTCTGTCTTTATCTTTCTGCATCTCCCTCTGTCCTCTCACAACCCCGAGCAGATGGCTGTTCATCATGAGTCTGGTTCTGCTCGAGGTTTCTGCCTCTTAAAGGAAGTTTTTTCATGTCACTGTAACTTTGCTAAATGTTACTTAGTCCTCACGATGGATTAATGTTGGGTCTTTGTAGATAACATAGCAGAGAGTGAGGTCTTTCACCTGCTCGTTTTGTAAAGAGTCTTGAGATAATTTGTTATAAATTTCTGATAAACTAATAAAGATTGATAGAAAGTTTTTTGTCACACCACTAAAAATGTTGAAAATCATTAATTCAGAATTTAAAAAAAAATGCAAACAACAATGCTGACTGCTTGCATGAAAGTAAAATTCAGAGTAAAATATTTTTCTCCCTTCTGCAGTGACAACCTCTTCATTTCATACTTACCCTCAAAGGAGACGTTTCTGAAGTAATTGACATTGACATATTCCTTCTGATACTCGGATGACTGATTTGTTTTGACAATTTCCCTGATAAGCTTTCCAACTAGCAGCACTGCATCATGGTACGCCGCCATGTAATCATTCATCTGCAGAGAGAGATAGACGACCATTGATTGTAAAACTACTCCACTTAATAACTCAAGAAGAAGAAGATGTCCTTTATTAATTTTACACTCTGTTATTGAAACATGCTGCACACACACAGACTGAAATACACACACATGCACAAAAGGATGCTATGGACATGATGTCAGAGAGAGAGAGGGGCTGCACATGAAAGAGCACATGATAGATCGAGGGTGCCTTAATCAACAGCTCCTCTGCAGCTACCAGACCAATTTCCAGACTTGGTTTGCACTCCGGTTACCAACCCAACTCCCTAAGGACTGAACTACTACAAAAATGTGTTACAACAAAAATAATTATGTTCTTGAAACAAGTGTAGTTCCCAAAACATGTAACAATTTCTTTAAGAAGCAGTTTGATTAATGACGATATCCTGTTTCCTCACCGTGTTGTTGCTTCTCAGGTCATTATTGATGGTGTAGTTTCGAGTGTTTGGCATCGTCAACACCAACACGTTCTTCATAGAAGGCATTGAAGACGTGTTGTAGTAAATATCACTGTGGAGAAGGGAGGGGGATGATTTTACAAGTGCTGTGTAGGCAGCATTATCATGGGAATTAGTCAGAATAAGGGAGCTCTTATGAATGTTTTATTAATTTTAACAAAATAATAAGTATCAACATACATCAAATTGTCAGTAGATTCTGTAGTTAAATAATCCCCTCCTCAACATGAACAAGCATGACACTTATGTATCTTAATTGAAGATATTGAACATGATTTAAAACTATTAAACTACAGTACAATAAAATAGTGGATGTTACCATTACATAAAATGTAGCATGCACCCGCCCCCTATGAGTATCCCTGCGAGTGGTCGGCCTACAGGGCCGCATCTCCATGTAGTTCTTCCGGGATGAGCCCGGTTTGGCCCCATGGGTTTAGTGCAAACCCCGCCAACATATTATGGTGGTGATTCTTTGTATTATTAAACAAAGATCATTTTTAAGCCATTTATCCATCACTTTGTTTCAGTTTTCCAGAAATTCAGTAATCTATCTATATCAGTTGTTTATCTATTAATTTTATCAATCTTTAAATTTGACTTCATTTTGTAAGTTGTTCTTGTTGTAAAAAACAAGAATTCTGTATTATTACTTGAACTACTCCACTCTGTTTTTGTTTATACCCCCTGGCAGCTGCAGAAGCAGCCATGAGTGACAGGAGCCTTCAGAGTGAATTAAAGCTTGTACGACTGTCTATCACTGCTCTAGGCTTGAGAAGATGTTTACAGAAAGTATGATAATAAGAAAACTGAAATGAAAACAAGACATTTGAGGAGAATTGATCGTATGAGAAGTTATAAAAGAGCTAGAGAATAAAAAGCACTGACTTGTAGAGATCAATAAGGAGGAAGAGAATTTCACTGCTGTCGGCTTCTTTGGATCCATTTTTCACCTCAATCACGTCCTGAGGTGATCCGCAAATGATGAACACTGCAAACAGAGGAGCTTTATGTAAGAGTGCAACTTCTGAGTTTGTCCAGTGAATTATTGATTTCGTCTACAAATGACCATCTCATTTCTTCACTGATCCAAGAATACACACAATATGGGGCAAAAAAAATACATCCAAATGTTTCTGTTGTTTGACCTATAGGTATAATTTCTCCATTTCACTTACAGTTGCTCGTCCTGTTTTGAGGGGATGCAATCACTTCCCTCAGTTCTTCTGGTTTGCGCAGCACTGTTCTAGTTATATTTTGGGCAAACATTCCTGAGCCTACATCCAGTGCATTTATGTACCTGTAGAAGAAAAAAATACAGCAATACGAAGGGACTGAAGAAACAGTGAGTCATATCACTTTTACTCCATAATTCATACCCACTGGTCTATTTCATTAACACTGCAGGACAGAGTTTATTCAGGTCACTAAACATTGTTTTGTCTATTCATTGGTAAAAAAAAAATATTCATAAATAATTTATTCTGAACACTAACATATATTCTGGTCAGAAAAGGTCAAATTCATTTTTAAGATGTACAGGGAATTTCTTTATCCATAACAGGAGGATGTTTACAGAGCATAGGGTAATCACATTGTATTTTGTCTATTCTCTTTCTTTCTTTCTTTCTTTATTAGGATCCCCATTAGCTCCAGCATACTTTTCTTCCTGGGGTCCAACACACATTCATTCATACACACTTATACACAGAACAAAATAACAAACAAACAAAGACAATCAGCAAGACCAGCTCCTCTAGTACAATTGAAGTTCATACAGAAGAGGAAAAAAATAAATGGCCATCCATTTCACAGACATTCTGCGAAAGAACACAAAATCATTGTCCTCACATTTTCCTTCATACATAAAAATGATATAATGTGCAAATTCACCTATATTTATACATTTTGATTAACATGAATCATTGTGTGAATGACCTTTATAAGTA